GAAAGTGTGAAGGATAAAATATGGGAAGCTGATCCAAATTTAGAAAGGAGTACGCCAATTTGCCAACTTGCCAAGGCACAGAAAAGCTGCTCGCGCTGTACAGTAATAAGAAGGTCCTCTGGGTAAGTTTTACACAAAAATTAAAATTTTGTTCCCCATGTTTCTAATGTTTTAAATTACAGAATGACAAATAAATATTAGGTTAGCTAACTTTTCATTTCCCTAGATATTTAAAGCCAACAGGGAGAGTTTTAAACATTCTGACAAATTTTAAAGGTCACCGAACAATTGTGATTTTTCTCATTGAGAAGACCACTTTGCAGTGTTTAAGCTTGCATGGTCATTTTTACAGGACAGCACCACCATGCAAGGCAAGGGCTGCCTGTGTTTTACATCTATTCTCTCATTTGATCTTTAAATAACCCTAAGTGATAGATGCTAGTATCATCCCCATTATATAGATAAAGAATCTGAGGCTCAACGACAATAAATAATTTGACCCAGACCAAAAAGCTAATGAAAGGCTGCACCTATTGGATTCTAAACCCCATGATCTTAACCTCTATGCTATATTATCAGTCCAGGTAGATGATGGGTATTTGATATGGGGGAGCAGGTGTGAAGGAGAGAAAGTGATGAGAGGTGAAGGTGCCTTCTCTAATGTAATCTAAAAAGGCTAGAACAGTATTGTCCAAAAGAGCTTTCTGTTTTCTATTCTATTTTTTAAAAAATATATTTTTATTGATTTCAGAGAGGAAGAGAGAGGGTGAGAGAGATACAAACATCAATGATGAGAGTCATTGATTGGCTGCTTTCTGCACACCCCCTACTGGGGATCGAGCCTGCAACCGGGGCATGTGCCCTTGACTGGAATCAAACCTGGGACCCTTCAGTCCGCAGGCTGACGCTCTATCTACTGAGCCAAATCAGCTAGGGCTTCTATTCTATTTTTAAAGCATATAACTATATATAATTTATAATCTATAATACAGAAATATATATTCAACCTTCATATACATGTAAATCTATGTGTACTCCTTAGTCTATCTTTTCTTGATCCTCCAGGATTTTGCTCCATCAAGAAACTTGAATATTACCTAGGTACATGGCCATCTATATATATATGTAGATATGGCTAATATGCAAAGTCCCCTCAGGAGTTTGACTGGGAGACCAGGAGTTTGATCGCTCACTAAGACGTGTGCTGACCACCCGGGGTGGCACGGAATGAAGGAAGGCCCCGGCCGGCACTGGAAGGCCCCTATCGGCCCTGATTGCTGGCCAGGCCTAGGGACCCAGCCCGTGCACTAATTTTGTGCACTGGGCCTCTAGTTCTAAATAAAAACTACATTTCCTGGCTGGTGTGGCTCAATTGGTTGGAACATTGCTGCATACACTGAAAGGTTCGATTCCTGGTCAGAGCACATACCCAGGTTGCAGGTTTGATCCCCGTCGGGATGCATTCAGGAGGCAACTGGTTGATGTTTCTCTCTTACATGGATGTTTCTCTTTCTCTATCTAAAAAAAAAATTAAGTTAAATTAATAAAAACATACCCTCAGGTGAGGACTAAAAGAAAAACACTATATCTCCCAAACTTCTTCAACTGGCCTGTGACTAAATATTGGCTAATGGGATAAATAGAAAAAATATGTATAATCCCAGGATGTGTTCTGGAGAAGGGAATCTTCCTTTCCCTTACTCTTTCCTGCTGGCTGGAACGTGGATGCAATGGCTAGAGCTGAAGCAGCCATCTTGGGCCATGAGTTGGAAGGAGGAATTCTAAGCCATAAAATCTACAAATTCCTGAGGACTTATGAAACAGAGCTCCCATGCCAGTTTCGGAATGCCACCTCCAATATTCATTTACAAGAAAAAAACATCAACTTTTAAAGCCATTATTATTATTTTTTTTTTTGGTATTTCTGTCACTGCAGCTAACGTCATCTTAATATACCAAAGGCCTGGGGGTTCTGGGTGGCTTGTGGGCAAGATGCTTTTTGTCCCTGCAAAAGGAGAGTCCTATTTCCCCATCCTGGCTATCCTCCTGCTTCATGCCTTTGGGCATGTTATGTGAGGACACAATGCCCAGGGCTGCAAAAGCCTTCTTATGACCACAAAGGAAAGATCGAGAGAAATCCAAAGCAACCATTCAGAACCATGACACCATCGAAGTGCTGAACGAACTCTGGAGCCACCTACCCCAGATTTCTTGTGTAAGATAATTACGAGCCTTACCATTTAGTTACTATGTGTTGAATATTCTGCTACTTGTGGCAGAAAGCATTTCCAAATGACATTTCTCTTGCTGTGTTCTGAATGTTTATGTCCCTCCACAAATTCATCTGTTGAAAACCTCACCCCCAAAGCAATGTTATCATTAGGTGGGGCTTTTGGTATTTTGGTGCTTAGGTCATGAGGATGGAGCCCTCATGGATGAGATTAGTGCCCTTATAACAGAGACCCTAGAGACTTGCCTGGCCCCTTCCAACATGTAAAAATACAGGGAGAAGTCAGCAGTCTGCAACCTGCAGACCCTGACCATGCTGGCAGCCTGATCTTGGACTTCCAACCTCCATAACGATGAGAAATAAATTTCTGTTATTTATAAGCCACTGAGTCTGTAGTATTTTGTTTTAGCAGCCCCAAATGAGACTTGATTGTGGCCCTAAAGAAGGATCTAGTTGAAAAAAGAAAGACTGACAATCAAGATGTTAAGAACAGCTTTCCCTGCACCCATTTCTCCCCTCCAACCACTGTTCGTTCTTTCCTTTCGTGGGCGAGTCTCTGTAAAAAGTGGACTACACATGCTATTTGCACTTTTTCACTTGCTATTCGTTCTTCGATCTTCTCTGCCTTCCTTCCTCCCACTCTGCTGAGCATTTTAATCTAGACCACTAATAACCTAATTTTCAAATCAAATAGACACTTTTTTTGTCTTCTTCCTCTCTGACCTCTCTATGCCTTTGGCTTTGATAACCACTTCCGCCTCTGTGAAATCCCCTTCATGGGTGGCTTCTTTGACATCACCCTCATCCAGTTCCCTTTTGACCTCTCTGGCTCCTCATTCTCTATTTTCTTCATGAGTGCCTCCGTCGGTCTGTACCTCCTAAATGTTGGCTTCTTCTCTTCCCTTTCTACACTCTCCTCCTAGGTGCTAACTTCTAATCCTGTAGTTTCCAAGATTGAAGGTAGCTTTCTTGGGAACAGGGGCCCTAGTCTAGACTCGTCATTTAAACAGAGATGAGTCAAAGCTGATCTGGTAAAAGTATTTTTCCCGTTGGATTAAGCACTTAGTCATGGATTGAATTGTGTGCCCTCAAAGGATATGTTAAACCCTTAACACCCAATATCTGTGAATGTGACCTTTTTTGGACACAGGGTCTTTGTAGATGTAATCAAGCTAAGATGAGGTCACTAGGATGAGCCTTAATCCAATATGACTGGTGAATATATAAGAAAACAAGAGACAAAGACAGACACGGACAATACCCTGTGACGATGGAGGCAGAGATTGGGGTGATGCAACCACAGGCCCAAGAATGCCTATGATTGATGGCTCCCACCAGAAGCTAGAGTCAAGGAAGCATTCTCCCCTATGGGTTTCAGAGGGATGAGGGCCCTGCTGACACCTTGATTTTGGATTTCTAGCCTCCAAGACTGTGAGACAGCCCATTTCTGTTGTTTCAAGCCGCCTGGTTGGTGGTGCTTTGTTACGGAAGTCCTAGGAAACGGATACACACTTCCTCCATTGTCCTGCAGCTCCTTAGCTGACCAACCATTTATAACTTGCAAATATCATACACCAGTTTTGTTTAACTTAAATATCAACATTGGGTTTGCAACTTTTTTTTTAATCCTCACCTGAGGGTATTTTCCATTGATTTTAGAGAGAGTGGAAGGGAGAGGGAAAGACAGAGAAAAATATCAATGTGAGAGAAACACTTTGAGAAAGTGAGGTAGGGGTTTTAATTGCTTCCCATTTTTTTCCCCCGGCTTGACTTGTGTCTCTTTGAGTGTGATTCTGTGTGGGACTAGGTCACAAAGCAGCCGAGCCTGACTTACAAGGGTTACATCTAACCACGATCAGAGGCGGTTCTGTGGCGAAGGGTAGGGGGCTCTGCAATCAGAACCCCGCGCCTGAACCCTGCTCCCCATCCTGTTCTGCTCGGAGCCCCGGGGACAATTCCTTCTCTGTGCCTCATTCCCCCACCACGAAGAGGCGGTAACAGTACCCGCTCCCCAGATTGCTGGGAGGATCAAATGAGACAGCCAAGGCCATGAGGACGGTGCTTGGCAACGGACGACGCTCACCTGTCGGTAATCAAACAGGACTCTCCGTATAACTCTCACCTGCTTACACGGAACAAGAACAGAAAGAACCTTTGGTGGCTCGCCGTTCCTCAGGCCCTTAGAATGTCATCGCCAAGCCTGCTCGTCCTGAGTGGCCTCTGCAGGCTCAGCTCCCCTCCTCCCTGGGGTCGTGGTCCAGACTCCCTCCCTCGCGCCCGCGTTCCAGGGCATCCCGGGCCCAGGCGGCGCGTCCCGCCTCCGCGGAGACAGACTTCGCTCTCCCCTCCCCGCGTCCCGACGCCTCGAGCCTCTGCGCGAGCTTTCCGCCCTCGGTGCTGTGACCGCTGAACGGGTCTGACCCGCCCGCACATCTAGATGCTCAAGGCGGCCGTAAAGGCAAACGCTGCACCTTCTCTCGCGCACACAAACCGCGGGGCCCCGGGTGGGGAGGGGAGGCTTGGTCGTAGGAAACGTCCTCCCACCCAAAACCTGTGGCCCCGCTGCCCCGGGCCGGCCGCGTAGCCCGAGGGTGGGGGCGGGCTCCCGGGCTAGGACCCCCTCCGCGGCCCGCTGGCCTCCAGCCTCGCCCCGGGGCGGCCGCCGTCACGTGACCCCCGCCCCCGCCCCCGCGCACAGCTGGAGGCGGGCCCCGCCCTCCCCCGGGAGCCCAGGCGCCCGAGCGGCGCGCGGCATTGTGGGTAGAGGGGCGGGGGTTGGGAAGATGGCGGCTCCCAGCCTCCTCAACTGGAGGCGGGTTTCTTCCTTCACGGGGCCGGTCCCCCGCGCCCGGCACGGACACCGGGCCGTGGCCATCCGGGAGCTGATGATCATCTTCGGTGGCGGCAACGAGGGCATCGCGGACGAGCTGCACGTCTACAACACGGGTAGGCGCGGCGGCGGTCTCCGGCCCCGCCTGTGGGAGCCGCGGAGGGGGAGGGGAGGCGAGGCGGCGGCCGGGGCCTGACAGCTGTCACCGCCGGGTCAGCGCCTCCTCCCGCGGGCGGCGAGGGGCGCGGCTCGGCCGGGCGGCCCGGGCCCCGCAGTGTCTCGGGGGCAGCTTCGTTTCCCCGGTGCACCCCCCTCGGGCGGAACCGGCCCCCGAGCGGGACGCGCCGGCCCTCCGGCGAGCGGTCCCGACAATCACCCCCCCCCCTCACCCCCGCCATCGCTAGGGGACGTCGGCTCGCGAGTGTGGCTGTTTCTAACCGCCTGTGCCTCCTTCCCAAGTCTCGCCCACCCCCGGCCCCTCTTCTGTCAAAAACCCAAACCAACCCCAAACGCAGGCTCCTCCGGACCTTCCCGGTCTTCGCCCTCTTTCCTCTCGGGAGGAAGGGAACCTGGGGGCTGGGGTGCGGAGGGAAACCCCGAGGCTGCTGGTGCTTTCACCCCGATGCAGCCCGGTCGCGGGCAGGTGGCAGGTTAGATGCCCCCCATCCCCCCTGGTAACCCCCCTAACTGCCGGGGAAGTGGTTGGGGGTGAGCGCAGCGCCTGTCGGTGCACAGTGGGGTGTGTGAGCCTCCGCTCCGCCCGGGAAGGGGACGGTCAGCCCGCGCGCCGCCGCACATACCCGCGCCCCTCGCCCGGGAGGCCGGGCCTTGGAGCACCTCCGCGGGTTCGAAAGGAAGTCGGGGCTTCATTTTTCCCCCTTGTAAATGCGCCCGCTGCCGTGAGCAGCCGGTTTCCTTGGTGTCAGGCTAATGCTCCTGAATGCGGGGTCTGGGCCACAGTCCCTTCTCTTGGACGCAGCCGCTCAGTCATTGTGGTCACTTAAAGGTTAACACGGTGGCGGAATAGGGTGCGTTTTATTTTTCTCACCCTCCCCTTCTCCTGGCACCCCGACATAGGAAGTGGTAAAGTTGTCTGGGCCCTGCCTGGCCGGCGTGGCTCGGCTGGTGGGAGCTGGGTCCTGTGCACGGAAAGGTGCTGGGTTCGGTCCTGGGTCCGGGCGCACACCCCGAGGCTGCGGGTTGGATCCCGGTGGGGGCGCCTGTGGGAGGCAGCCGGCTGATGTTTCTCCCTCACATCGGTGTTTCTCTCTGTGTCTCTCTACCTTCTCCTCTCTCTCCAAAGTCAATAGAAAACATTTTTAAAACGTGATTTGACAATGTGGTGTAAAGCTTTCGCTTTGGGATAAGTTAGACCTGGTTTGAGTTTTGTTCCGCCAGTTTCCTAGAATCCGTGCTGTCAGATTTTTCACTTGTGAAACGGAGATGATGGTATCCAGCAGGGTTTTCCTAAGAGCAACATGATGTAGATCAGGGATTTCCAGCAGCAGCATTATGGACATTTGAATGAGAGAATTCTTTGTGGACGGGGACTGCACTGTACTTAATTGTAAGTTTGGCGGTATCCATAGCCTCTACCCACTACTAGCCAGTAGCACCATCCCCCTCCCTCCAGTTATGACAACTAAAAAATTCTAGTTTGCCCCTGGGTGAGGGGCAGAATCATCCCCAATTAAGGACCACTGATGTAGATGATATACATAAAGTACATAGTCATAGTTTGTGATAAATTGCATTTAGGCCCTGGCCAGGTAGCTCAGTTGGTTAGAGTGTTGTCCCTATAATGCCAGGGTTGCAGGTTTGATATCTGGTCAGGGCACATACAAGAAGCAACCAATAATACCTGAATAAGTGGAACAACAAATCAATGTTTATTTCTCTCCCCCCGCCCCCTTTCCCCGCGCCCCCCCTCTCTCAAGTGTCAATAAATAAATAAAATAATTGCTTTTAATTTTGTTTCTGTTTTGGCAACTAGTTACAAATCAGTGGTTCCTACCAGCTGTTAGAGGAGACATCCCTCCAGGCTGTGCTGCCCATGGATTTGTCTGTGATGGTACCAGAATATTAGTATTTGGGGGAATGGTTGAATATGGAAGATACAGCAATGAGTTATATGAGTTACAAGTAAGTGTATTTCAGATTTATTATTTCAATGATATTGCTCATAATTCTTCAAAATATTTCAAAATATTTCATTAACATACTTAAAATAGTGTGAGCTTCACCTTTTATAGTTCAGAAGAAATTATTTCCACTTCACTGAAAAACTAGTTTTTGATGTAATCTTTTTCCAATACCCAGTGGAACATTTGTATCATTAAGATATCTGTTACTTAGCATCATTGTACATATTACATGTTTATGGCTTTGTATTTTAGTGCAGTTCTTCAACCTCAGCCTGCAGCAGAAGCACTGGGAGGGCTTGTGAAAACATAGGTGGCCGGGCCCTGCCTCCAGAGATTCTGATTAATATGGCCTGTAGTGGGACCTCGCTATATGCATTCCTACCAAGTTCCCACCTGCTGCTGCTGGTCCCCAGATAATACTTTGAAAACCTCTGCCTTAGTTATAGAAATAGTTACCCTCACACTAAACTTTTTTTTTCTGGCTAGACATACAAAAGAAGGATAGCAGTTTTACATATCCTTTCTCAGTTTGACACTCTACTAAACCAGAGTCCACTGTGACAGCCCTAATTGACTTTTATTCCTGAATTGTGCATATGTTCTCAGGGCCATGATCTATGTTTTCACAAGCCCTCCAGGTGCTTGTGTTGCAGGCTGAAGTTGAAGAACTGCACCAAAATACAAAAGCCTAAAAATATAACATGAGAGCATCTGGTAATTGGCAGATGTAGGTGGATTATACCTATTTACAAGCCACTAATTTTAAAAATCATTTTAGAAAGCATGTATAGCTAGAGAATAAGTTTTTGAGTTTGATTTGTTAAATTGTCTTTGTGCTTATTTAAAGGATAAAATATATATCATTAATGGAGTACCTAATTTCAGGAAGTAAGACTACATAAATTACATTTAATCTTAAAGCTATATATAATATTTAATGTTTCACTTGGAAAATATTTTAGGACTGTTAGTGTTTATTTTTATAAGCTTAATTTGCCATTGTATAAAGTTGTGAATATGACCCTAGCTGGTTTGGCTCAGTGGATAGAGTGTCAGCCTGGGGACTGAAAGGTCCCAGGTTCTATTCTAGTCAAGGGCGCGTGCCCCTTTTGTGGGCTCGATCCCCAATAGGGGGCGTGCAGGAGGCAGCAGATCAATGATTCTCTCTGATCATTGATGTTTCTATCTCTCTCCCTCTCCCTTCCTCTCTGAAATCAATAAAAACATATTTAAAATAAATTTATGAATATGGAAGATTAGACAGAATTTCTATTGAAACATTTATTTTAATTCCAGAAGTTATTTGCTTAATTGCCATTTGTCCCAAAAGTACCTTTTTGGAGTCTTCTGATTGGATTCAGATTTAAATGCATTAGTATGATGTTATACTATTAGCAATATAGGAATACTTTCCTGATTTTGTCTGAGTGTATTTATGCTCTTTTTTAGGCAAGTCGTTGGTTATGGAAAAAAGTGAAACCCCATGCCCCTTCTTCTGGTTTACCTCCTTGTCCTCGGCTTGGACATAGCTTTTCTTTGTATGGTAACAAATGCTATTTGTTTGGTGGCCTGGCAAATGAAAGTGAAGATTCAAATAATAATGTTCCCAGGTATGCTGACCCTTTTTCAGGCCAAATGCTTATCTTATGATTAAGATTAAGAACATTTAGTTTCTTCCATCTTTAATTATTAGAGTGGATGAAGCTTAGACTTTTTGCATAACTTAACAGAGAACAAATTTGTGTGCATTGATGTTTTTCTTAGTCCCTGGAGTATATGTTTTCAAAACTGTGCCTTTTCTCATCAGAAATACTTATTAAATTGATACTAATATAACTGCTTATAGCAATATATTTGTATCTTTTGAACCTGCTAATGTATTTCGGTTGACATAAGTGATCATGAAAAGTAACAAATGGTTATTTTCACATTGATTTCTCTGGGAATTTAGTGACAAATATTTGACTACAAAATGAAGGCCATATTTTCCATTTTTCACACAGAAAGCTATTAGAATGGTTCACACAAGCAAATACTTTTGGAACCAATCCTTTCTTTTTCCAAACAGAATCACTACCTCTTTTGTTTTCACATAGTGTTTTGATCACACTGTCATTATAGCAGTCAGGATTTGGAAATTTAGAGTCTAAAAGGCTGTTTCTGATTCACTGCTCACTATGTGTGTCCTTTAGTAGAAGTAATCTAAGCCTGCTTTCCTTCATTGAAATCGGAGTGATTAAATACCTACCTTTTAGTGTCATTGTGATCGCTAAAAAAGATCACTGGCATAATTTTCAAAGCACTTTGAGGTTGCCACCAGCACATAGTACAGTAGTTATTATGACCATGATAATGGGTCTTTTTACTACATTAAATTAATGTTAGAGTCTTAGTTTTTATTTTTAAACTTTAAAAAATAACACTTACTAAAACATGGAAAATTTGGAAACTGGAGAAAAGGAAAAATAATTTATTCTACCACACTAATGCAGATACTTTTACTTTGAGCATGTCTTTTTTTTCATTTTTTCTATTAAACAGTTTTTTTTAGATAGAGACTCATAAAAATTAGGAAGTATGTAAAGTTCTTTCTCAGAGCATCAATGTCCCCCACATAGGCAAACACATAATTCAATTTGATATGTATCTTTTGGGACCTTTTTCATGTAATACATTGTATTAGTCAACTTTTCTTAAGTTATTGTATGTAGCTGGCAGGCTTCCCGAGTTTATGCTACTTGAGGGTGCAAATAGATACATGCAGTGTTTTCTAAAGCCTCTGACTAAAGCTAGTACATTCAGTTCTGTTCACATTCCATTGGTCTAAGCAAGTCTTAAGGCCAAGCCTTCAGGAATGATTCCAGGGATATATGTTCTGCTTACGGGGAGAGGAGAATTGGAAACATTAATTTGATCCTACAAAGACATGTATTTTCTTTTATAGGAGTGGGATCTTTCTTTCTGCTCTGTGACTTTGGGTGTGCACTTGTTTGTTTTTGTTGTTTTATTCTTTTAAGGTATAGCTTAGAGCTCTTTTCATGGCAGCAGGTATATATTGACCTTGTTTTTTAAAGGCTGAAAGTAGTGTGAATTATGCAAATTACTTAACCATTCCCATGCTGATGGACATTTAAATATCTTTCTTTTTTGCTATTAGTCTTGGCACATGTATAAATATTTTTGTAAGACTGATACTTATAAGTGGAATTTGAGGGGATGTCAAAAGGTATTTACGTTTAAATTTTTTAGGTACTCCTGATACTCCTGAGTCAGTCTCCAAGAGAAAGACAATTTATATTCCTAATAACAGTGTACAAGAATGCCTACACCCTTGGCAATACTGAATTGTATCACTCTTCTTAATTGTTGCCAAGCTAATTGATGAATATATTACACTAGAGGCCTGGTGCACAGATTCGTGCACCAGTGGGGTCCTTTGGCTTGGCCTGAACCCTCTCGCAATCCGGGACCCCTCGGGGATGTCAGAGAGCCAGTTTCAGCCTGATCCCCACAGGCCAGGTGGAGGGACCCCACCGATGCACAGATCTGTGCACCGGGCCTCTAGTATGCATATAAGATCTTTGGTTAATCTCTTCCGCCCTCCCCCCTCCTCCCTTCCCTCTGAGATTCATCAATCTGTTCCATGTTTCCATGCCTGTGGTTTCTGCTCCTGCATTGAGCATCTGCCCCCTGGTGGTCAGTGTGCATCATAGCTACCGGCCGGTTGAACAGTCGGCTGGTCAGCTGGTTGCTTAGGCTTTTATATATATAGATAGATAATTTTATTTTGATATTTTTTAAATTGGAAATGAGTTTCATTAATTGCTTTTTGGATATTTGCAATTCCTATTTTGTATGGATTTCATGGATATAGCACATTTATCTATTTTATCAGTTGATGGACATTTGGATTGTTTCCAGTTTTAGGCTTTTATGAGTAATGCTGCTGTAAACATTTACATACAAAGCTTTGTATGGACATGTATTTATTTCTCTAGATTAGAAACATAGAAGAATTACTGGGTCATATGGTAAATTTATATTTAAGTTCTTAAGAACTTCCAAGCTGTTTCCAAAGTGACTATTTCATTTTACATTCCCACCTAACACTTGTTATTCTCTGCCTTTTTTATTGTCACCAATGTAGTGGTATGTCATTGTGGTTAATTTTCCTAATGACCAATGATACTGAGCATCTTTTCATGAGCTTTTCAGCCATTTGGTGAAATTTCTATTCAATTTCAGCCATTTGGTGAAATTTCTATTCAACTCTTCATTGATTTTTAAATGAAGTTGTTTGTGTTCTTATTATTGAACTAGAGGCCCAATGCACGAAATCCGTGCAAGAGTAGGCCTTCCCTGGCTGCTGGCATCGGCTTCCCTCCAGCACCTGGGACCCAGGCTTACCTCTGGCTGCCAGCAGGCACCTGGAACCCGGGCTTCCCTCTGGCTGCAGGCAGGCACCTGGAACCCGGGCTTCCCTCTGGCTGCAGGCAGGCACCTGGGACTCGGGCTTCCCTCACAGCCCTGGCTTCATCCGGAAGGTCGTCCAGAAGGACATCTGGAAGGATGCCTGGTCTAATTAGCATATTATGCTTTTATTATTATAAATTGTAAGAATTCTTTATATTCCTGGATACAAGTTTGTTTTTAATCAGAAATGTGATTTATAAATATGTTCTTCCAGTCTAGCTTGTCTTTAATTTTCTTAATGGTATCTTTTGAAGCACAAAGTTTTTAATTTTGATAAGCCCAACATATTAATTTTTTATTTTATGGATCAGGCTTTTAATGTCATATTTAAGAACTCTGCCTATCTCATGCTTTTGAAGATTTGTTCCTCTATTTTCTTCTAAAAGTTTCATAGTGTTAGCTCTTACATGTATATGTATGATTCATTTTGAGTTAATTTTTTTTTCCTGGGGGAAAGTAAATGTCTAAATTCATCTTTTTACATGTGGATATACAGTTGTCCCAACACCATTTGTTGAAAAGACTATCCTTTTCCCATTGTATTGCCTTGGCATCTTGGTTGAAAATCAATTGACCCAAAGTGAGAGTGTTTATTTTTGGTCTCTCAATTCTGTTCCATTGATCTATATGTCTAGCCTTATGCCAGTACCACACTGTCTTGATTACTGTAGTTTTGTATTAAGTTTTGAAATTGGAAGATCTAAGTTCTTAAATATTATTCTTTCTCAAGAGTGTTTTGGCTATTTTGGGTGCTTTACATTTCTATGTAAATTTTAGGATCAGCCCTAACTGGTTTGGCTCAGTGGATGGAGCGTTCCGTCGGCCTGCGGACTGAAGGGTCCCAGGTTCTATTCCGGTCAAGGGCATGTACCTTGGTTGCGGGCACATCCCCAGCAGGGGTTGTGCAGGAGGCAGCTGATCGATGTATCTCTCTCATTGATGTTTCTAACTCTCTATCCCTCTCCCTTCCTCTCTGTAAAAAATCAATAAAAAATATATTAAAAAATAATAATAAATTTTAGGATCAGTTTGCCAATTTCTGCACAAAGTTCTGTTGGGGTTTTGATAGTGATTGTGTTGAATATATAGATTGAATTGTGGAGAATTGCTATGTTATTAATATTGAGTTTTCCAATCCATGAACATGGAATGTCTCTCCATTTATGTAGACCTTCTTTCGTTTCTCTCAGCAATATTTTGAGGCTTTCAATGTACAAGTCTTGCTCTTATTTTGTTAAATTTATACTTAATTTTTTATTATTTTCAATGATGTTGTGAATAGGTTTGGTTTCTTATTTTTGGATTGTTCATTACTAGTATATCGAAATACAGTTGGTCTCTGTATATTGGTCTTGTATCCTCTGACTTTGCTGAATTCATTTATTATTTTAATCATATTTTCATGGATTTCATTTTTTTCTTGTTAATTTGAAGCCCTATCTCTGTCATATCTTTATCCTCAAATAAATGGGTCTTTATCTAGGCTCTCTAGACCAGGAGTTCAAACTATACTTACTCTGTGGGCCAAATTTGGCCTGCTGCCTGTTTTTTGTTAATAAAGTTTTATTGGAATATAGCCATGCCCATTCATTTACATATTGACTCTGACTGCTTTCTATTGAAAAAGCAGAGCTGAGTAGTTGTGACAGACTTTATGACCTGCAGAGCCTAAAATGTTTATTTTTTGACCTTTCACCAAAAAAGTTTGTCAACTCTTGTGCTAGGTTCTATTCTTTTTCATTGGTATATTTATCTTTTTATCATTAATTGTGATATTTGCTGTAGGTTTCTAATATATATCTTTAATCAGATTAGTTTTCTTAAAAATCGTTTGGGAATAGGTTACTAGTTTTACCTTTAAGCCTTTTTTTTAATGCTTACCTCCTTTTTCCATATATTCTTAAATCTTATTTTAGATTGAAATAATAATAAATTAATTTTTTGGCCAGTCTTTCTTAGTGATTATTTAGACCTCACAACCACAGTTATCAACATCAATTTAAATATAATTATAAATTGCTATTTTCTTTGCTCTTCTATTTCTCTTATTCAGTGTATTTTTTCTTGGATTTCTTTTTATTTTTCCTGATTGACATCTAGAATCACTTTTTCCTAAAACAATTATATGGCTAAACTTTGAAGTTTTATATACCTCAAATGTTTTAATTTTGCCTTCATATTTGAGTAGTAATTTAATAGGAAATAGGTTTCTGTAAACATTATTTTATTGAAAACATTCATGTCACAGATAAGAAGTTTATGCCAGTTCCAAAAGTAAAAAAGTTGTATAGGACATTGTTGTATGTGACATTATAGAGTGAAAATTTAAAAAGAAAGAGAACTTGCAAAACAACATTTGTAATATGCCTCATTTATACGTATGTGGATATCCACACAGAGAGAAGTCTTACCAATTATTATCAGTAGTAATTTTTTTTGTAATCTCATACCATGTAATAAATTGCTCCAAAAGTTAGTGATGCAAAATAACCATTTTATTACGCTCAAGGATTCTGTGCATTAGGAATTCAGACAGAACATAGCAATAATGATTAGGCCCTCAGATGGGAATGCATGAATGGTCACTTGCATGTATGATGCCTCAGCTGAGATGGCTGAAGGGTGGACTCAGCTGGGACTGTCATCCTTTGTGCCTACATATGGCTCCTCTAGATGGTGGTTGTGTGATAGTTGGACTTACATTGTGGTTCAAGATTTCATAGTGAAGCTGCATTGGCCTTCTGTGACTCAGCCTCAGAAGTCACATAATGTCATTTCATCATACACTACTAGTTAGAGCAGTCACAGGCCTGCCCAGAATCAAGGGAGAGGACATAGACCCTACCTCCTGGTGGGAAGAGTGTCACAGAATTTATGGCTATGTTTTAAAACTATAATGGTTATTGTCATGGACAAGAGTTTTGGCTAAATGATGGCAGAATTTTTTAGATCTCTTCTGTTCTACTTATCCCCAGAAGGGTGCCTGATACACAGTCGTGTTTGGTAAATATGTGTTGATGATTAGGTATGGGGTTTCTGCTCTCATAATGTTTTTCTGTATTATATGAATTTTCATAGTAAGCATATATTACCTTTGTAGGTAGAAAAAAAATGAAAGGTATACATTATGCTAATGTTTTCATTTTTTAAATATCTTAGATATTTAAATGATTTCTATGAATTGGAGCTACAGCATGGTTCTGGTGTTGTGGGTTGGAGCATTCCAGTGACTAAAGGGATTGTGCCTTCTCCAAGAGAATCTCACACAGCTGTTATATATTGCAAAAAAGATTCTGGGAGTCCTAAAATGTATGTTTTTGGTGGAATGTGTGGTGCTCGCCTGGATGACCTATGGCAACTTGACTTAGGTAAGCTTAACTTGATTCAGGCTCAAGAACTGGTTATGACTGATAAAATCAAATATAAAAATTGCTTTGAAAAATATTTTTTATTACAGTATTGATTGAGTTGCACTTAGATTTATTTATAACTAGAGGCCCGGTGCATGAATTCGTGCACCAGTGGGGTCCCTCAGCCTGGCCTGGGGGATCGGGCTGAAACCGGCTCTCCGACATCCCCCAAGGGGTCCCAGATTGCAAGAGGGTGCAGGCCAGGCCAAGGGACCCCATCAGTGCACAGTCAGGGCCGGGGAGGGAAGCGGGAGGTTGGTCAGCTGGGGAGGGACCATGGGAGGACTCCAGGGCGTGTCTGGCCCATCTTGCTCAGTCCCAATCGGCCAGATCCCAGCAGCAAGCTCACCTATTAATCGGAGCATCTTCCCCCAGTGGTCAGTCCACATCATAGTGAGTGGTTGAGCAGCCTTAGCATATTATTAGCATATTACACTTTGATTGGTTGAATGGATGACTGGACATTTAGCATATTAGGCTTTTATTATATAGGACTAGCACTGTAGACATCACCAGGGGCAGCAGGGTGTGATTTGAATGGTTCCTGCCGATCAATTAGATTGAACAAATGAGTGTTTATGACAGTGACTCTCCTGTATTTCCTGTCAGTAGGATCACCATATGTCCTGGTTTGCTTTAATGGTCCTAGTTCATGCTTATTATCCCATAGCATCCACTTTTACTCTGTGAAGTGTCCCAGTTGGGGATGATCAAATTTATATCGTTACTCTTATCTACAGGAAATGTAGCATTAGTAATGTTACTGCTGGTCAGCGAAAAACCTTGGGTACCTCTTTTTAAAAAAATCCTCATCCAAAAATAAATAAATAAATAAATTCTCATCCAAGGATATGCTCTTTACTGATGAGAGAGGGGGGGTGGGGAGGTGGGAAGAGAGATATATCAATGTGAGAGAAACATCAATTGGTTGCCTTCTTGCATGCTCCCCAACAGGAATCCAACCCGCAACCTTTCAGTGCTTGGGGTGATGCTACAACCAACTGAGCCATACCAGCCATGGCTTGAGTAGCCCTTTTTAAAGAGATCCTAGGAATAAATAATTGGGGAGTAGGTATGCCTCTTACTTTTGACTGTCTCTGCCCAGTGTACTCTTACTTAAAATAGTAAAATCCCTAATGTCCCAATTCAGAAAAAATGGTATTCTAAATACATCTCTCTATTACAAGTACTAACAATAAAGTGTAAATAGATTTCTGTGACTAGCAATTTATGTCAGTTGGAAATGTTTAAAATGAAATCCAAGTAACAGTTTTGAAATATTTTTGCTTTATTTTAGTAAGACCTTTTTGGTTTTAATTTTTAAAATTCTGCAAGTTGAGATAGTTTGCTGTTATTAGATCAAGTTGCTAATATACTTATTTTTACTTTTAGAAACTATGTCATGGTCAAAACCAGAAACTAAAGGGACAGTGCCACTTCCACGAAGCCTTCACACAGCCAGTGTTATAGGAAACAAGTATGGTGCTTTTTTGTTTTCACTGTTTTTAAACTGAATAGAAACATCAAACAGACTGTCAAACCTCAGAGGGAAGGCAGGGAGAGTGGAGGGAGGGCAATGGGGGAAAAAGGGGACATATGTAATACTTTCAAAAATAAAGATTTATTTTTTTTTTAAAAAAAGAAAGATATACACAAAGAAGAGTGATGCTACCTGTTTCTTAGAAATATATTACTGAATTTAATAATGTTTGTGCTTACTGAAGCTAAAAAAATATGCCTACAGAAGCTAAAATGCTTAATGTGCCATTTTCTTATCATGCTGCCTCTTATACTTCTTTACATTCCTTACAATGCCTTGCACAGAGTACGTATTACGTAAGTGTAACGCAAAGTGTTGTCAAAGTGATCAGTCCTCCATTGACAGGTTTGACACACCTCACTGTTCCTTTTTACATATTTTTGGTAGTGCTTGATTTGTACTCGGCTATTACTCAGTATGTACATTCCATGGTTATACTTTTGATGGAGTTATGGTTAGACTACAGACTCTGAAACTAGATTGCCTGAATTCAAGTCCCAGCTTTGCTGTTTGTGCTATATGACCTGGGGCAAGGAAACCTAACCTATTTGTACCTAAATCTTCTGAAATATAAAATGCTGATGATAATAATACCTGCTTCACAAAGTTGTCAGGAGAATTAAATGGGTTAATACATTTAAAATATTTCAAACAGTGCCTGGTACATAGAGGCACTTAATGGTTAGCTATTACTGTCGTCAACAAGTAAGTGCCCTTATTTGTGCAACACTGGGCCAGAATTAGTTTTTTTTTAATATATTTTTATTGACTTCAGAGAGGAAGGGAGAGGGAGAGAGAGATAGAAACATCAGTGATGAGAGAGAATCATAGATCGGCTGCCTCCTGCACGCCCCACACTGGGGATGGAGCCCACAACCCGGGCACGTGCCCTGACCCGGAATCGAACCGTGGCCTCCTGGTTCCTAGGTCGATGTTCAACCACTGAGCCACGCCGGCCGGGCTTGAACTAGTATTTTAAAAAATAAAATTTAAGTATTTAATTAAATAGGGACTTTACCCTAAAAGCAGTGTTTTTGGAAACAGTTGTAATTTAGATCCTCATTACTTCTTTTTAAAAATTTTTACTAAATTGCCCTAGCTGATTTGGCTCAGTGGATAGAGCTGCAGCCTGTGGATGGAAGGATCCCAGGTTCGATTCCAGTCAAGGGCACAGACCTCGGTTGCAGGCTCCTCCTCCTGGTTGGGGCTTTTGCAGGAGGCAACCAATCGATGTGTTTCTCTCACATCTATATTTCTCTCTGTCTTTCCCTCTCTCTTCCACTCTCTAAAAATCAATGGAAAAATATCTTCAGGTGAGGACTAAACAAATGAAAACAAACAAAATTTTATTAAACTTACTGGAGTGACACTGGTTAATAAAATTATATAAGTTTCAAGTATACAATCCTGTAATACATTATCTGTATATTGCATTGTGTGTTCACCACCCAAAGTCGTCTCCTTCTGTCATCTTATTTATTAGTTTGTTTTTCAAAATAGACAAACAAAATATGTTTTAGGAAACAGCTAGTTGTAATTTAGAACCTCACTAGTTCCTTTTATTTAAAAACATTTTTTAATTTATTGATTTGAGAGAGAGAGAGCGAGAGACATCATTTTTATACATTCATTGATTGATGCTTGTATGTGCCCTGACCAGGGATCAAACTTGCAATCCTGGTGCATCCAGACAGTGCTCTAACCAACTGAGCTACCCAGCTAGGACTCATTAGTTCTTTTTAAAAAGTAGACATTTCTTAAAACAGCAGAACCCTTTTATAAAATGTAGCTTTTCATTGGAACTCTAATATATAAGAGATTGAAAACAGAGCTTCTCTGGTTAGCTTGAAGTCACATGGGACCCAAGCTCTACTGGATGAGCCTTTCTCCTTCTTTAGCCATTAGGGGTGTCTCAAGAACTGTGAGGGCCCTAAGGACATAGTTTAAAGTTTTTTATTTGAGTGATATCAGTGGCCAGACTAATAAGAAACTTAATCCTCTTTGGTTACTATATGCATACAATTCTAAATTTGGCTTTGAATGTCATGGATCATTTGAGTATCTTTCTGACTGAGATACCCTTAGTATATTACATCAGTATTGATTTTCAAATGTATAATAATTGAAATATTTCCCACTTTGAATAACTTGCCAGAGAGAGATCATTTTGATTCTTTATTGCTTCATAAAATTGTAAACACTTGAAAGAAGTCTACTTTATTCATTATCTTATTTCCATTACCTTGGCATTGACAAGTGAGTGAATAGTTCTATAGCTTGGTGTCAACAAATAAGACATTTAAGTCTATTATTAGGATTTTAAATCTAAATAAAATTAAAGCTTTAGGAAAAAATTTAACTACTTTATGTTCTTTTTGTTTGTTTGTTTTTTAGGATGTACATTTTTGGAGGATGGGTTCCACATAAGGGGGAAAATATTGAGGCTTCATCTCAAGATTGTGAATGGAAATGTACCAGTTCATTTTCTTACCTAAATCTGGGTGAGTCTTTTAAGAGTTGCTTAATCAAATAAAATTTATTAACAAAAGAATTTTTGTTTTGTTTAAGAATAACAGATTAGTCATGGATATTTCTATCTTTTTAGATACAGCAGAGTGGACCACCCTAGTATCAGATTCTCAGGAAGATAAAAAAAATTCAAGACCAAGACCAAGAGCTGGGCACTGTGCTGTTGCAATTGGCACACGATTGTATTTTTGGAGTGGAAGAGATGGCTACAGAAAAGCACTGAATAGTCAAGTTTGCTGCAAGGATCTTTGGTATCTTGATACTGGTAGGTAAGAATATTCAACAGATAAAAATTTTCCTTTAGGTAAATAAGTATTGGAATAATGTCTGTCTTTTGAGACATTATTCCACTGCTTATCTTTCCCATAATTAAAAATACATAGGAGCCCTAACCGGTTTGGCTCAGTAGATGGAGCGGCGGTCTGTGGACTCAAGGGTCCCAGGTTTGATTCCAGTCGGGGACATGTACCTTGGTTGCGGGCACATCCCCAGTGGGGAGTGTGCAGGAGGCAGCTGAATCGATGTTTCTCTCTCATCGATGTTTCTAACTCTCTATCCCTCTCCCTTCCTCTCTGTAAAAAAAAAAAAAATCAATAAAAAAAAATACATAGGAGATGGATGGAGGGGGCAAAAAGGGGAGAAATGGGAGACATCTATAGTACTATCAGCAATTAAAAAATACAAAAAAAAATAAATATACATGGAAGAGCCCTGGACAGAGTGGCTCAGTTGGCTGGAGCACCATCACATATTCTGAAAGATTGTGGGTTTGATTCCTGGTCAGGGCATATACTTAGGTTGCGGGTTTGATTTCTGGTCAGGACACGTACAGAAGGCAACCAATTGATGTTCTCTCTCACATCGATGTTTCTCTCTCTGTCTCTCCCTCGACCTCCTCTCCTTCTCCCTCCTTTCCTCTTTCTCTCTCTCTCTGAAATCAATAAGCATATCCTTGGAGGAGGATTTAAAAAATTCATGGAAGAAATAATATATGTAGATGCTTCACACTCCAGGAGAGTTTCTTAATTTCCCTCTCCTTGAGGGTAGACTGGATTTAGTGACTCCCTTCCAAAGAATAGAGTACGAAAGGGAAAAAATAGAAGCTTTACAGTGGCGAAACCTGGCAAACAGCACCTTAAGTGAGTAATCAAGGTTCATATCACTAGTGATAAGTCAAGTTGATATCATTTGCCCCTGCCTCCCATATCATGAGATAAGAAGAAACTTCACCCTTGTGATATCCCAAAAATCCATTACTCCATTCTAACTGTGAGAACATATCAGACAAACCCAAAGTGAGGGACATTCTATTCTGCAGACTGTGTGAACAGTACTGTTCTAATTTTCAAAATGATGGAAAACAAGGAAAGACTGAGAAATAGTCACAAATTGGAGGAGACTAAGGAGACATGAAGACTAAATGCAAGGTGATGCCCTAGATTGGATCCTGAAACAAAAAAGACATTAATTGAAAAACTGGTGAAATCTGAATAGTCTGTAGTCTATGTTAATTTCTTTTTTTAATTGATTTTTTAAAGAGAGAGGAAGAGGGAGATAGAGAGAAACATTGACTTGTTCCAGTTAGTTATGCATCAGTTGGTTGATTCTTATATGTGCCGTGACCAGGGATTGAACCCACAACCTTGGCGTATCAGGAAGATGCTCCAACCAACTGAACTACCCGGCCAGGGCCTCCAATGTTCATTTCTTAGTTTTAACAGATGTGTTAGCATTAAGGGGAAACAGGAAAGGATATATGAGAATTCTTTGCAATTTTTCTATAAATCTAAAATTATTCCAAAATAAAAAGATTTTTTAAAAAAGTATTATAACACCAAAAATATTTTAAAGATGGAACTCACATCTATTTTTTCAATAAATATTCCTTGATTGACAGCTATGTACCAGAAATTGTTCCAAATGCTAAAAATACAGCAGTGAACAAGACTGATAGTTTCCCTGCTTTCAAAGATCTCATATTCTAAGAGAGTATGAGGGCAGGGAGATGACAGGCAATAATCCAACAAATTAACAAAATAAGTTCAGTTTCTGGTCAGTATGTGAAGACAGTAAGAGAGAACAATGAGATAGTGATGGGGGGGTGTTGTTACTAGGAATGAAGGGAGGGGTGGCTACTTCAGAATGGGGAGTTAGAAAAGGATGAGATGGCATTTGGGATGTAATCCCAATGGTGAGAAGATGCCATCCATGTAAAAAGCTGGAGGAAAACTACAAGAGGAGTGAGTGAATAGCAAGTGCAAGGGCCCTAAGATGGGAATACTTGGCATGTTTGGGAATAGATTTAAGCTGAGGAAAAGTGGAGAGTGCAGGAATGGAGATTAGAGACGTGACCATAGGACAGATCATGTAGGGCCTCCAACACCGTAGTAGAGTTTAAATTCTTTTTAAAGTACAATAGTAGCCGAAACCAGCTTGGCTCAGTGGATAGAGCATCGGCCTGCAGACTGAAAGGTCCCAGGTTCGATTCCGGTCAAGGGCATGTACCTGGGTTGCGGGCACATCCCCTGTGGGAGATGTGCAGGAGGCAGCTGGTCGATGTTTCTCTCTCATCGATGTTTCTAACTCTCTATCTCTCTCTCCCTTCCTCTCTGTAAAAAATCAATAAAATATATATTTTTTTAAAAAAGTGAAATCTTAAAAAAAATAAAATAAAATAAAGTACAATAGTAAGTTACTTATTAGTTTGAAGGAGAGGCATGCTATGATCTATTGAACATTTTGGAACAGTCACTGCAGTTGTGTGGAAAATAAATGATAGCGGTCAAAAGTGCACACATGGGAGACAGGAGGCTTTTGTAGTAGACAAGGAAGTCAGACGATAGTGGTGACAGTGGAGATGAGGAGAAATGGATAAATTCAGAATATATTTTGGAGTTCTTGTTGATGGAACTGGCTGATGAATTGGCTGTGGCAGATGACAGAAAGAGAGGAGTGGAGGATGAAGTTTTTTGCATGAAAAATGTGGTGGTATTTCCATTTACTGAGATGGGGAAGACAGATGAGAAAACAAGCTTTGGGGAAATTGAGTTCCATTTAGACTGTGCTAGACCATGAAATAACAAGATCGAGTAGGCAGGTTAGTGAATAAAGAAGTCTGGAGGCCAGTAGGAAAATCAGATCTGGAGATGTAATATGTGTTATATGAGAAAAGCAGATGATAAAACATACCTATGTTTTTTAAAGTGTATAAACAGAAAAATCTTGAAAGATTCACTGTGTACCACAATATTATCTACGGGGCTAGATCAGACATTTCTTAAAAGGTTTTCTCTCTTATCTGTATTATCTATAATAGCATATATTACTTTGGTAATGTAAAAACAGTTTAATTTTAAAATTAAGATAATGAAAAAATAATAAGTGAAAAAAGTTAGAGACTATGAAAGAAGCACATACTAGCAAGCGGGAGAAAAATATAGAAAATCCAACGTACTGATTCATATTTGAAATTGGGAATTATTAAGTGAAGTCCAAAGATAAGCTTCAGTCTCTGAGATTGGAAGAAAAATGTGTGCATGTAAATTTTTCTCAGTAGCAGATATGTCACTTTAAGCAGAGTCTCTAAGAGATCTATGACTTTTATAACACTTATTTTTATTTACTTACTAATGGGAGAAAGAGAGAGGAAGGGCGAGAGAGAGACAGACAGACAGACATCGACTTGTTCCATTTATTTATGCATTCATCGGTTGATTCTTTAAAAAAATGTGTGTGTGTGTGTGTGTGTGTGTGTGTGTGTGTGTGTATTATTGATTTCAGAGAGGAAGGGGCTGTGGAGAGAGAGAAAAACAGCAAAGATGACAGAGAATCATTGATTCGCTGCCTCCTGCATGCCCCCTACTGGGGATTGAGCCCACAACCCAGGCATGTGCCCTTGACTGGAATTGAGCCTGAGACCCTTCAGTTCACAGGCTGACGCTCTATCCACTGAGCCAAACCAGCTAAGGCCATCGGTTGATTCTTGTATGTGCCCTGACAGAGTATCAAAGTTACAACCTCAGTGCATCAGGATGACGCTATAACCAATTGAGCTACCCAGCCAGGGCCCTGGATCTGGGACTTTTAAAAGGATAAAAGTCATTGGCTTTAAATAGCCATTTTTTCCACAAATCTTTCCATAAAAGGCGTTAGACATGATTATTTATCTAAAAGTAATTATGGCTCTCTGTGTCTGTCCCTCCATCAGAGGGCAGGCTCTCTCTGTCTGTCCCTCGAGTCAGAGGGCAGATACTTAAAAAAATAAAAAATAAAATAAAAGTAATTATGGCCACTAATCATAAGGGCCATTTTGCTTTTCCTTTTGATAAGTTAGCATCAATTTTGTGGGTGGTGTATGAGGGCTCTTCATTTTGCTTTTTTTCACTTTTAAACTTTGTGCACTTGATAATATTTAAAAGAGTAATACAATTCCATTAGGCTTTTTATGAATAGTGGTCTTTTGCTCCCACTCTCCTCCCAATTATCCTTGCCTCACAAGCATCTATTTTTAACTCTGTTCATTCTTCTTTGATATTTACTTCCATATCTACATATAACATGTGTATACTGTTACTTGGATTTTTTTCAGTTTAGGCATAATATGCTCACTTTCTACTATAGAAGTTAAGGATTTATCTTTCCCCACCATTCCCTACTTCCTATTCTCTGAATATAAATACACCAACATTTTGTTAGAGGAATATTCAATGTTTATATCATGACTATGGAAACATTGTTCACAGGTGGGCCATATAGAGTATGCTGAATACCTTCCTTGTCCTATTTTTTATTTGCCATGGATTAATAACTATCACTTCTGTTTTAGATTTGTATATTTTTTACCACTAATTCAATCCATACTCTGTTATTTGCTTAAATTTTCTCTCATCTCCTTATGGTTAGATGCATCAGATGTTCTATCAAATTTCATCATCTTGAAGAGATTACTTCTGCTTCAATCTGGGTGATTGCTCTCCACAGATTGAGCACAGCTATCATCTTGGAGTCTCCCTTCAGCATCCTCCTGGGGATATGTTTTGCCTCTCACTTGTACCGGATTTCCTGTTTCCTGGATCCTGTGTTTTTCCCTATCTTAGTTTATGTCCTCATTTTTTGTGGAACACATCCAGGAAAAGGGTGCATAGGTGACAATTTATTTTGAGATCTTGCATTATTTGAAAATATGTTTAGTCTTCCTTTTGACGTAACTGACGGTTTGCATGGAAATATAATTCTACATTAGAAATCATTACCCTTAAGAATTTTGAAAACATTGTTATGTTGTATTCAAGCTTCTAGTGTTTTTGTTGAGAAATTTGAACCACTTCTGATTTTTACTCCTTTTAAATGTGTCCTTTTCCCTCACTCCTGATAACATTTAGGATTTTTTTCTTCATCCCCAACTTGTTCTTAATTTTCGTGATGATGTGCTTGTTGTGTGCCTGTTTTTAATTCATTGTTTTGAGTACTCAGTGGACTCTTTCTGGAATTTCGTGGTCTTCAGTTCTGGGAATTTTCTTGATTTATTTCATTGATTTGCACCCTACTGTTTTCTCTCTTCTCTCTTCATGTAACTTCTATTAAATGCTTGGTTTACCTCCTGTAACCATACTTTTGTTCAGGTGTAGGTTGCTGTACTTTGAGTAACATAAATAAATTGGATTGTTAATAGGGTCATGGAGGAATATACAATGGGAATAGTTAAAGGATCTAGGCTTAATTATACTCTAAATTAGGCCCATCAAATTTTTTCTGTAATGGCTCAAGTAGTAAATATTTTAGGTTTTGCAAGACATATGGTCTCTGTTATAACTACTCAACTCTGTTGTTGTACCATGAAAGCAGTCATAGACAATACATAAAAAAATGAGCATACCTTCAATAAAACTTCATTTACAAAAAATTCACATGAGCTATAGTTTGTTGACTGCTACTCTAAAAGATGCAAAGAGATATTAGATGTACTCTGTAGGGGTTAAGTTATCATTTATAGATTCCAGTTCACTAGAAGAATTAATTGTCTTATATAACTGTGCAAAGATGTGATATACTACCTCTGGAATTGTGAGTTCTGTGGTTTGGCAGGTAAACTAAAAGAGGAAAATGATATCGTAGAAATAATCTCAGTTCCTTTTTTCAAGTTCTAAGAGTCTGTAATTTTTATTTGTTTTGGAAATGTTGGTAATATTTTATACCACAGTAATTACCTGTTTTGGATAGTACAAGTTTTGATAAAAGGGTATTATCTTCAAAGAGGTTATGTTGTTCCAAAATATCATACCCAAATCACCTAGCATTAACAGTATTTCTAACATGTATACTGTTGCCTAAAAATTGACTCATACAATTAAAAACTTAGAGTAGGTAAAATTATGTAGCTATTACTATGTAATACTTCCCCTCACTTCTAGGATTAAACATTTTTTTTTTCTGAATCTGATGATTCAAATAGGTTGGAACTACATTATTTTTAAATTTATTTATATAAAGGATTAAATAAAAAAATAGAACCCCAAACTATTTTCAGTTGACCTTCCATAGCTGTGTTTATTTGAGTAAATTTTTTCCCTCTTGGTAAACAGATGAAATATTCATTGCTGACATTTTCAGAGCTCCAGGTCTACACAAACTTTTATATGCAAAGTATTGACACATTTGAAGCTTATAATATCTATATCAATATTGTTCTTTAGAGAAACCACCAGCCCCATCACAAGTACAACTGATCAAAGCCACTACCAACTCTTTTCATGTCAAATGGGATGAAGTGCCTACAGTTGAGGGCTATCTTTTGCAGTTGAATACCGACTTGCCATACCAAGCTACATCGTCAGATTCTTCAGCAGCAACAAATATGCAAGGTAAATTGCATACTTAACATAAATTGTCACACTTATAGCATGTATGCTTTTTTTTTTTTTTTAAGATACTAAAAAGCCTATGAGTAGGCCTGGTGTAAGAAATCTTATATGATGTTTCCTGTCTGGTAAATCAAATATGTTGTGTTTCAACTTTGTAACTTGACTGTTTTACAATTACAATGTAGTAGAACTCAGATATGTAGGGTAGCTTGTTTCTTCAGTTCATTTTGATGGATTTTCTTAATTTGACAAGCTCCTTAACTCCAGGAGATGATTTTAATTAGCTTTCATACGTATTTTGGCTTTCCCCCCACCCCCCAAATATTTTTAACTAACAGGTACTTGGAAAATAAAAGCAAATTTAATTTTACATGTTCCCCAAGAAATGATTTCAGTCAGTTATTAAGAAAGCAGATAAACTTTGATAAAGATAACTACTTTTTAACCTTTAACATTTAACTCTTGAAAATTTTTTTATTGTAATATATTTTATTGAAGCTAATTTAGATCATATCAGTCTGAACTTTCTTATTCTTGCAGGAGTCAGGATGGACCCTCACAGACAGGACAGTAATAGCATCATTCCTAACAGTGTAAGTTTAAAAAAATTTAGGATGATAAATGAATGTGTATGGTTACAGTCCCATGTTTTAATATTGTTAGCATATTACCTTAGGACAGGAGTTTTCAATCCTGGCTGTACATCAGAATCACCTGTGAGATTAAAAAATAAACACATAGATTCCCAAGCCTTTCCCCAGATCTAGTAGTAGCAGAATCCTTAGGATGATGCTCAGGTAGCTGTGTTTTTAAAGTAAGGTCCATAGATCATGGTGACAGTAGCCTGAATTAAAAACCCCTGACCTCATTACACATGGCATCAGAGGCTAATCCATTATTTATACTTTTGCCATTTCTAAATATTATACACATTTTAAATTTCTAAAGGTGTACTTTCAAAATATATATGAAATATATTTCTTTAACTATGTATTTTGTTTACCAAAGAATATGAGTTGCTAAGTTGAGCACCGGTGTGTGTGAGGTTATCTCTTGTTTATGAAGTGCTTCACAGTAGGTTTTTGTAGAGATTAATGAATAAGCTTACTAGGATTTACACAGATTTTATCTGGCAAACTGTGCTTTACATTCACAGTACATTCTTTTCAAGGGAAATGATGTAGATATAGGCTCAGGTGTTCCGAACATGGCAGAGGACCTGTAATAAGCAAAAAAGACTACTATGCCAAAAAGGGGATATAACAAATAAAGCCCATACAGTCATTTCTGAATAGCCCATATTAATAGACTCACACAAACACACATATAGTAATCCCCCCTTTTTCTGTGGGGAGGTAACTTCAAGACCCCCAGTGGATGCCTGAAACTGTGGATAGTACCAAACACTATATATTGTTTTTTCCTGTACATACCTATGATAGAGTTTAATTTATAAAATAGGCACAATAAGAGATTAACAACAATAGTTAATAATAAAATAGAACAATTGTAACCATAGACTGTAATAAAGGTTATATGAATGTGGTCGCTTGTTTCAGGAGATCCCTTGCTAAAGCCTTCATATGGGCTAAGTGCTTTCTGCACAACATGTTGGGACCCATTTTCTGTTTATTCTTTCACCCACAAATTTAATGTCTTCTCCATCTTAAGCACTTACCATGTACTGTGGCTGTAACTTTCTCAGTTTTAGGTGCGGTAGCAAAACTAGCACAAATTTCTTTTTCCTTCACAATTTCACAGATAGAAGGTTTGTTCTTATCATAGATCTTAGCAACCTCACTATATGATTTTTAAAAATTTCCTTGTTGAGAACTTTCACCTTTTCACTTAAAGAAAACACTTTATAGCTTCTCTTTGGCATATTTAAATTGCCAACATCACAACTCTTGCACTTTGGGGCCATTGTTAAGTAAGAGTTATTTGAAGGCAAGCTCTGCAATACCACAACAGTGCATCTGATAACCAAGATGGCTATTAAGCGACCAGTGGGTAGGTAGTGTATACAGCATGGCTACACTGGACAAAGGGTGGATTCTCATCCAGGCAGGATGGAGTGGGACAGCAGGAGATTTCACCATGCTACTCAGAAAAGCATGCAGTGTAGAACGTTTGAATTATTTATTAGTTGTTTATTTCTGGAATTTTCCATTTAATATTTTTGGCCCATGGTTGGTTGACAGCAGGTAACTGAAATCACAAAAAGCAAAACTATGGCTAAGGGGTGCTATACACACATATATTATATGTTGAGTTTATATTTTATTTATATACTAGAGGCCCAATGCGCAAAATTCATGCAAGAGTAGGCCTTCCTTCCCCCCGCTGCTGGCACCGGCTTCCCTCTGGCACCCGGGACCCAGGCTTCCCTCCGGCCACTGACAGGCACCCGGGACCCGGGTTTCCCTTGCAGCCTGGCTTCATCGGGAAGGTCGTCTGGAAGGATATCTGGTCTAATTACCATATTATTCTTTTATTATAGATTCTTAAAAAATTTTAGATATACTACAAGGTTTATAATGAAGTATAATAATTGCCCACTCTGTCCCTCTTGATTTTGCCTCTCTAGAGACAGATATTCCTTTATGACTATTTGAGTTGGATTTTTGGAGGAATCTCCTGAAATGTGTTTAATCTGCTATGTTTAACCAAAAATCCTCAGGGCTTATTTTTTTCTCATTTTGAACAATTCTAGTTAGACTAGATAGATACCTGATTTTTAAGCAAAGAGTACACTAGAGACATTACAACATGGAGACTTTGGAGTGACATACACCTTGGTTCAAATTCTAGCTCTGTTATTACTGACTCCCTGACTATGGGTAGATTATTTATGGTCTCTGAATCTCATTTTTTTCATGAATAATAGGGGTCATATTATTCAACTTAAAGAATTCCTGTTACATAGTATAATGCTTCCTAATGGTCGTGGCTAGCATCATTATTTATTAACAGTAGCACCATCACTATCAATTAGAAGAGAAGTATAGGGCATGTTAAGTCTCCTTAGAACCATGAGAAATTATAGTTGACAATATAGTTATAAAAGTAACAAAAAACAGGTAACTAAAAAGGAGCAGCAATATTGGAGTATCAATGAAATCAGATCATTTTTATGGTTCATTGGACCTATAAGTATCCTATATAATAAAACACTAATATGCAAATTGACCAAACAGTGGAACGACTGGTCGCTATGATGTGCACTGACCACCAGGGGGCAGGTGCTCAGTGCAGGAGCTGCCCCCTGGTGGTCAGTGCACTCCCACAAGGGGAGCACTGCTCAGCCAGAAGCTGGGCTCACGGCTGGTGAGCGCAGTGGCAGTGGCAGGAGCCTCTCCCACCTCCGCAGCAGTGCTAAGGAGCAGCGAGCCGAGCAGTAAGGAGCAGCGAGCAGGCGGGCGGTAAGGAGCGAGGGGTCCTGGACTGCGAGAAGGTGCAGGCCGGGCTGAGGGACTCCCTCCCCTCCAGGGCACGAATTTCATGCACTGGGCCTCTAGTTGTAATATAATAACTGATATTCACATTAATGACTTGAAATAGAAAAAAGTTTAAATGTGTTCTTTATAGTATGTTTACTAAGAAAAATAAAATATAATTAGAATAATTCCTATCTAAAATGTTTAATGGTAAAGTATATTGATATGTCTGTGTATTAAATATTGATATCTATATGGGAAGTTCAATTATACAGAATAATTATTTTGCTTGAAGAGTCCATGTAACTGAGATTTTACTTTTAGTAGTTGTCAGATCTGTAATATACATGTCTGATCCTTGTTAAGAAAATTTGACCAGAATGTTAGACTTAGTAGCTGTGGTGCTGTCTCCTGTGTTACATACATATTTACTTAAATAATAACTACAACTTATAAAAATGTAGATTTTCCCCTCAAAATATGCCCTCCCTTTTCCCTTTAGAACAAGCCATTTGAGAATGGAAATTAAGTAAAAAGAAATTGTCTTCTTAAACTAATATAAATTTTAAAAATAATTCTTACAAATTAAGAATATAATTTACACTATTTCATATTTTGGGTAACTTATTTTCAAAATCATTAAGTTGTAAGTTATTTTGCTTGTTTTTTACATGTATTTCTATGCAATTGAGCATTGCTTGCTACAACAAACTATTTTATTTCTTGTAGATCAATGATATAATGAACAGTGCAAAAACTGAACATACAGCTATGAAAGTAACTTCAGTGAAAAACAAACCAGATCTCAAATCATCAACTGATTCTAATGCTGTTTTACATTCACCTTTGGCAACTAATGCTTCTAATCATAATAGTTGTATGGTGGATATGCTAAGGAAAAATGAAGGTAATAAAGACAGTGTTTTAACTAAAGCTAAAGCTTTTTACAATAATGGTAGGGAATTTTTGAGTGTTTAAAAAAGTAAATGTTACATGGTTTTGATCCATTTTCAAAATAATAATATAACAAACAAATTGACTAGAGTGATTTGTGATGTCAATTATAAGCACTAAACTGAATAGTAATGAATAATTATGAGCTATGGATTTTAAATAACAATAAAAAATACATTTGAAAATGAAAAAAACAAAGAATTTGAATGAGGAAGCTCTTGTATGACATTTGCAATTGGCCAGTGTGTTCAACGTCACTATCGTATTGCTTGTTTTGTTAACATTTATAACTGTTTGATATTATTTATTTTGGGCAGGGAGTTTTTGTCTATCTTGTTCACCTCTATTTTCTTAGCACCCAGATTCATGCCTGGTAAAGGAGTCACTTAGTAAATATTTGTTTAGCAAATAACTGGATTATTTTCAGAAAGATGGTTCATTTATGAGAGCTGTTGCAATCATGGAAAAGCTTATAATTTGGTGATCTTTATATTTAAAATAACTTAATTTGAATATTCTGAAGCCATATGAGATATAAGCATTGCCTCTTATTTTAATATCTAAAATTATTTTATAAATCTCATTCTGATTCATCCCTGACATAGGATCATGTGACTTTATTTTCAGTTTGAAAAAATTATGACAGCTGATTAAATTTAATTCCCCTTTAATGATTCAAACTTAGCAAGAGGAATATTCTTTTTATTTCCATTTTTCTTCATAAGTTGATGGCAGATAAAAATATTCAAGGAAAATAATTTCCTATAAGTTTTGTCATTTCATTACTTGTGGAAGAGGAGAGTGCTTTTGTTTTGTTGATTTTCTGATGTAAGAAAATTATTTGGTCAAAATTATAGAAAGTTGGACCTAGATCTCAACTTTAATTTCTTTCTTATACAGTGGGGCCTTGACTTACCAGTGTCCGGACTAACGAGTTTTTTGAGATACCAGCTGTCTCTCGGCCAATTTTTTGCATTGAGTTGACAGAGTAATTTGAGTTAACGAGCTCGGTCTTGGAACGAATTAAACTCGTAAGTCAAGGCCCCACTGTACATCATTTTGGAGACTATTAGACTTGAAAACTGGTTGGATGTGATAAATAAAAATGAGTTGAACATGACTCCCAGTGTTGGACATTCGATGGATGATGATACTTGTCATCAAGAGAAGAAATATAGGAGCAAGTGTGAATTTGACTGTTTTTGAGGCATTTGAGGGACATATGGTAAAGATTTCTAATGGATGGTTGGATACTTAGGTCTGGAGTTTAGGAGGCAGTTCTTGTCTGAAAGTATAAATTTAGAAGTTAAGGGTCTCTAACATGTAAACTTCTCAGAGCAGGGACCCTGTTTGATGTGTTCACTGCTCTATTTTACAGCACTTGGCACAGTGCCCACGTGTACTTGAGAGAAGTATAATCATGAATGGTAGTTAAAGCACAGGGAAAACATGTAAAGGGAGAAAAGAAGAGGCTTAGGAATACCTGCATTTAAAGGATCATTTGAAGGAGAGAAGCTAGCTGAAGAGATTGAAAAGGGGTTCCTAGCAGGTTAGGAAATGAACCAAAAAGATTGGTATCATGTTTTCCCCTCTGTAGTGGGCATCACAGTTTGTGACTAGTGTATGCATCTCTCTCTCTACCATGTGACTGTAAGTTCATGAGATATGGCCCATACTTTCTTTGTTTCACCATTATAGAAACGAGCACAAAGTCTGGTAAATAGTAAATCTTCAATATTGTAGAATGAATGAAGATAAGTTATAGAAAGGAGTATATGGTCAGCATAGTTTACATTGCAGAAAGGTGAGGTAACTTAAAATTGAAAATTATCCCTTAGAAATCATTGCTGTCTGCCAGAGCCATTTCATTAAAGTAGGTAGTGATGCCAAAACCGGTTTGGCTCAGTGGATAGAGCGTCGGCCTGCGGACTGAAAGGTCCCAGGTTCGATTCCGGTCAAGGGCATGTACCTGGGTTGCGGGCACATCCCCAGTAGGAGATGTGCAGGAGGCAGCTGATCGATGTCTCTCTCTCATCGATGTTTCTAACCCTCTATCTCTCTCCCTTCCTCTCTGTAAAAAATCAATAAAATATATTTAAAAAAAAAAAGTAGGTAGTGTTTTAGAAACCACATTTGGAGAGGGCAGGAAAATAGGGACTGTTCTGAAGGGAATAGTAAGGGGAGAGAGTAACTGGGGATAACTTGGGGGGGCGGGGTCAAGGAAGGTGTTTGTTTGTTTGCTTGAGAGACTTGATAATGTTATGGACTGAGGGCCAAAAACTACTGGAGAAAAAGAATCTGTAAATTCTGAAGAGAGAGGAATGACTGATGAGAGGGTCCCAAAATATGGGGGAGGAATGGGACCAGGAAGATAAATAACACTTCCTTAGGAGAGAGGTCAGCTCATCCTCTGAAATGAAGAGAAGGTGGAGAGAATGGACACAGTCACAAATACCTTTCTAGTTTAGGGCGGGAGAAGGCACAAAATTGATGGCATTCACGCCTGGCGACCTCTATTTTTTCCCCTAGAATGGGAGGTAAGGCCATCTGATGCATGATTTAGTAGAGTTGGAGAACAATGATTCAGTGTTTAGAATGGAAGAGGGAGCTGAGAAGTTGGACATCTGTTTTGGATATTATACACTTTATTTTTCTAAATATTTTCTGCCTAATGGTTAATTAGTATGAGTGACATTTGTGGTGCTCATGTTTATGATTTTAAAATGGAAAAATACCAAGAATTATATGCTAAGAACTATAAGATACAACAATTATCTGCAGGTATTATGTTAATAATTGATCTTTTCCCTTTGATTTTAGGTCCTCACACTTCAGCAAATATAGGTGTTTTAAGTAGTTGCCTGGACTTAAGAACAGTAATTCCTGAAACTTCTGTATCCAGTACTGTTTGCAGCGCACAAACTATGGTAACCCAGCAGGCCATTAAAACTGAATCATCCAGTACAAATGGGGCAGTTGTTAAAGATGAAACTTCACTAACAACATTCAGTACCAAATCTGAAGGTTTGAAATGTGTTTCACATACTGTATTTTGAACCATTTTTGTATATAAATTCATCAAACTTATTTGTTTTAAGTAGGAAATGAAATGTGTTTCACATACTGTATTTTGAACCTTTATTTGTATATAAATTCATCAGACTTGTTTTAGATGGGAGTTGCATTTCACTTTGTATTGAATTATGTATAAACATATAAAGCATTTCACTTAAAATGATTATGTAATATACTCTCTGCTGCCTTACATAAAATATTGAAATCATCACACACTGAAACACAATACTGTGAATATATTCAACAATTTTTTTTTCCTTAGAAAAGATTAGTTCTAGACTATGGAGTAACAATTCTCCCAGCTTGATTGATTTCTGATTTTGTAAATCTCATTTTTTTTGCAATTAGGAATTGTGTTTCATCTTTGGTAAATATTTGCTGAAGTTATAGCTGGTTATCAAACCCTGGAAAAATCAGCTTTGTGAATTAGTTTGAATTAGAGGGTACATATTTCTAATTATTGTGATTTTTTTCCCCTCTGGCTAATTTGGCATATTTATAAATTATATTTTAATGTGTCTGTTTGATAAGTGATTATGTAAGTCTTACCTGATGAATTGTTTAATTTTCAGTTGATGAAACCTGTGCATTGCCTGCAACTAAGATCAGCCGTGTGGAGACACATGCTGCAGCAATGCCGTTTTCTGTAAGTATATGACCTGGAGACAGCGTGTGTTTACAGACGAGTAAATAGACTTTAAATACTGAGCAGCTTTGACATAAATTCACAGAAAGATTCGTGTGTGTCCTCTAGTAATGATTTGACATAGATTGAGAAATAAAGGGTTGAATAGGAAGAATGTTCACAGTAATGATAAGTGAAAAAAGATACACACACACACACACACACACACACAGAAATACATTCATACTGTGGTCCCAATTTTATTAAAAAATATACCTAATACATTCATTTATACATCACATGAGTTCACACACATCCACACTACCATGCTAGATGAATTTTTCTAGGTTGTGGGGCCAAAGACAATTTTTACTTTCTTCTTTATGCTTTCTATATTTTTCTATAATGAAATGTGTTACTTTCATAATAAGAAATGTGTATGTAGATATATATGTAAATTACATTAGTGGTTTTATGAGTAAAAGGATATGTTATGGAACATAAAACTTGAATGACTCTATTGCTAGCTGCTTAATAGGAGAACAACAGAATATTGTGATATTGGGTTAGACATACCTATAGGGTAGCCCAGTGTTCTATGACATTGGACAATATTATTTGCTGCCAAAAGAGAAGCCAGAATGGGTCTGCATGGCACCAAACTTAAAATGCTAGGAAAGTGCCTCACAAAGATACCAAGATTGTCTTAATTAGGTAAATATAGGGACAATACATGTTTGTGTGCATGTGTGTGCATATACCTTTTAATTTATTTTTAAATTATCAATCATTTCAACTTTATTGCTATGAGCAAGAGTTTTTATTTGACCTACTATTTACTTTTTAGAGTTTTCAATTGTCTATTGTTTTAGTTTTTTTTTAGATCATGATTTTACGGATTTTGATCATATATTTACCATCATCAGCTTTCACCTTTACAGAATGTTAAATCCTAGTGTTCTAAGACTCTTCTCAGGGAAGAATTATTAAAGTGAACTTTTTTCCCTTAAATCTATTTTGTGATGCATCAGCTAGAATGGTATTTGTTATTTCATTTGGAGCCAGTTGTTTTATAAAAGTTGTTGAAGAGAGTTTTTACAACTTTAAAAATGAAAACAAGTTAAAAGCTATTCCTTTTTTTAAAGAAAAACCTTAAAGATTCTTGGTTAGTTGTCATGTGTGATAGCCTAAATAACAAATAATGTGAATTGTAAGCATGTACCTCTGCTGTTATATATTTAAGACAGAAATAAATAACTGAAGTGCACATTTGTTTTGAGCTTCTGGAAACAGTGTCTCATTTATAAAGAAGATGGCTTAAAAAGGTTAGTTCCAGGGATAAGTATAATTCACTTATCACTAAAAGTAGCTTAAGGTAGAGGAAGTTTATTTGTTTTAAAGCAAGGCAAAAAATGTAAAACTGTTTAATCTGTTCCTCTTTAGTATATATACTAAAGTGTATTCAAATTGCATTTTAGTTTTGAACATTTTTTCTCCTTTTAGGTTTGGAGAATCACAGGTATTTCAAGTGCAAAGATCACTGAATTTCTGCTAGTTGTTTTTGAATCTAGCAATAAGCCAGCTTGGAATGATTTTTTCTTATTAGCTCCTTTTGGAGCAAGTTGTATTGTCACACTAAAGAGATTACATTTTCTGAGAGAGTCTCTGAAATGACAATGTTCTATAAAACAGCTGGCATTTTAACATACCACTAGTGGATTGGAAAGCATGCTAACTCCAGCGAGGGTGATAGTACAGAGCTACTGACCTGGAGAATGCCTGTCACTCCCTGTGTTTGAATTGGCATCCCTGTTTCACTGTCAGTTGACCTAATCTCTTAAGAGTTTATTTACTTATGAACTATTAATGTTGTGGTGTTTACCCATATGCCTATTTGTAGATCACTGCATGGAGTTATTAAATCTAGAAATTTATTATATGCTCGATAAGAGTCTTCATAAATTTTTTTTTCTCTGAAATCAGAAAGAGACTCCTTCAAATCCAGTGACTACAACGAAAGCAGGAGAACGACAATGGTGTGATGTAGGAATTTTTAAAAATAACACAGCGTTGGTGAGCCAGTTTTATTTGCTGCCAAAAGGGAATCAAAGCATTTCAAAGGTAGCTATTGATGTATTTTCTACACTGTGAGTTATAAGCCTCTAGAATGAGGTGTTGTTTTTTTATGTAACTTTAATTGAAGACACTTGAATGCATGAAATTAGGATCTGTTCACAATCTGTAATTGAGAATTCTATATACCTAGTTATGTTGTATTCTTTTTAAAGGATCTTTCTATAAAATATATCACAAGCAGGTTATTTATTGATTTTTATTTTTAAATCCTCACCCGAGGATATTTTTCCATTGATTTTAGAGAGAGTGGAAGAGAGAGGGAAAGACATATCGATGTGAGAGAAACACATCGATTGGTTTCCTCCTGCATGCGCCCTGACAAGGGCCGGGCCTGGGAGAAGCCTGCAACCAAGGTATGAGCCCTTGACCGGAATTGAACCCGGGGACCTTTGGTCCACAGGCTGACACTCTATCCACTGAGCCAAACCGGCTAGGGCACAAGCAGGTAATTTAAAAATCTTATACAATCACTGGGCTGGATTTTGAGTCATAAATAATATAGTCTGGCCAGTATAGATAAGGATTTTTTGAAATATCTCTAATTATATTATGTGATGTGTTTAGAGAATAGAATATTTTTCTTACTCTGAACTTTATTTCTGAATTCACAGCTTTAAAAATTTAAAAGCCCCTGTAGGCTAGTGAATACAATTTAAGTTTCCCTTGGTTCTGAAATCCCTTAAAGGAGGACCTCATATATATAAGTGAGACATTAACCCTCTGAGGATTGTGAAACAGATAACGGCGCCAAAGCATACTGAACTAATTTTTATCTGGAATGGTAAATTTCAGAGAGAGAATTGCCAAGAAATAGATTGAATCTCTCAAAGATCTGCACAAATGGTGAATATATCATTTATCATTATATTTTAGTTTTTCTAATATTACTACTGGTGTCCCTCTTTTTCATATTGGATTTTTCCAATTCTCGAAAACAAAATAGAAATCTTGGTTAATAATTTGTTAGTATTATGCCTAATAAAATTTCTGGCTGCAGTTTGATTTCATGTGTAAGGAAATACCTATATAAGGCCCTAGCAGCTACTTGTTTTTCCTAAAAGGTAAAAAGAACTTAACATTTAGAATCAGTAAACTTGGTTTTGCTTGATTAGTTCCAGCACTCAACAATGTGACCTTGGACAAATCACTCATTTAACCTCTCTGAGACTCAGTTTCCTATGGAGATGACATAGCTCCCTTAAAATGGGATGATGTGTTGGTGCTACATGTTTCATAGAGGTGTAGTAAGAGTTAGGGAGAATATGTAAAAATTATTTGAAAGTTATAAATATTATAATCTTCCCACTTAGAGTATGAAATCCAATTATTTCACATTTATTCAGCATGGAGATGAGATAGTTGTTACTTTGTTTATAGTGATCCTTAATATTTGCTACCTATGCACTCTTCATGTGCAGAATACCCTTGCACTTCTTTTTGTAATCAGTGATTCTCAGCTGGAAGGGCACTTTTCCTCTGAATAAGAATCACCAATTTATGGGCTCCGTTGTTTTGGTGTTGGAGGTCTCATTCCATGTGTGAAAAGGGGGAAATACATAAATGTAGACTAGAACCTTTAAACAATTCATTCTTTAAAAGTTTTGTTTAATTACAAAATAATTAATTGCACCTTTTCTTTACTTTTGCATATATTGCATTTTAGATAGGAAATGCAGACGTACCTGACTACAGTTTACTTAAGAAACAAGATCTTGTTCCAGGCACAGGATACAGATTCAGGGTTGCTGCTATCAATGGTTGTGGAATAGGCCCTTTCAGCAAAATCAGTGAATTTAAAACTTGTATTCCTGGTTTTCCTGGAGCTCCTTCTGCAGTCAGAATTTCAAAGGTGAGATGTCAGGTTAAGACTTGGTTATGTAAATTATTTGAAACTTTGTACATGAAGTAAAACTGTCAGTAAAGAGATTCTTGTTAGTGTCTAATGAAATGGGAGATATTTAAAAAGGGGGATTAAAAGGTTAAAAGAATATTTTTTGCTAATCAATCACAATATTTTTAAGGACCAAATTTTAAGTAGAATTACAGCATCCAAGTTAAAGAAAGGGAAATCTGCTATATTTCTTAATATTAATTTTATACTTGTTTATGGAACTAAAGGTTTGTGCTGAAAGAATTTAATAGAATACATAAAATTGGATTATATTTTATCCTAAGGTCCTGCCCCTTTAAAATTTTAGAGAAGAAAATGTCTGCTTTCAAGCAAGAAAAATACCTTTCTTGGCATAGGACAAGCAGACAATTAAACCTAGATATGTTTTTGAAAAGTGGGCATTAATTACACATTGCAGATCCAATTAAGATAGGTTTTTAAAACTCAACAATAAAAGTTCTAACATCTAATACAAAAAGCATTTTGTATTCTAAAGATAGAGTTAACATAGTAGAGAAAACTTCAGAACCTTTACCTGTTTTTTTTCCTCTCCTCTCTTCAAGAATGTTGAGGGTATCCATCTTTCCTGGGAACCTCCAACTTCACCTTCTGGAAATATTTTGGAATATTCAGCCTACTTGGCAATCCGCACAGCACAAATACAAGATAATCCAAGTCAACTTGTTTTTATGAGGATTTATTGTGGTCTTAAGACATCATGTATAGTGACCACTGGGCAACTTGCAAATGCACATATTGATTATACATCCAGACCTGCCATTGTGTTCAGGATATCAGCAAAGAATGAAAAGGGATATGGACCAGCTACACAAGTTCGATGGCTTCAAGGTAACAATAAAAAAACACCTTTAAATTGAATTGTTTTTACTAAAGCTATTGTGATTATGTTTATTTATTAGTAACTGGTTATGAAGATTTGTCATTTAAAAAGAGTATTCTTTGTATTTCTAGCACTTATGAATTTGAATTTGTAAGCTGTTCTTAAAATGTATTTGCTCAATTCTAGATCCAAATAAAAATAGAAAAGACGCAAAGACTCTCTGAGATTTAGTATATGGATTCTTTGTTATAGTTATAGCTCTTTTATAAAGGAAAATAGTAAAATTAAGATAAAAGCTAGAAGACATTATTACCCCAATATATTTTATAAAGGTCATGTAACTCAGTCATCCTAGGGTTATTGAGGAGATTCTAGTAACTGGCTGTTGTACAGTGTGCTGTCTTATACCGTAAACATTCCCTACATTGTAAAGGCCCTGTCTATGAGTACGTCCTCTAACTTTATATGATCAGTGATCCTCTAACAACTGTCTTCTATTGGGTAATATTTGTTTTACTAATTTTAGCAGCCATTTGATTTCTTTGTTTATATATAGTTAGCACAGAACTTAATGAAATTAAAAAAGAGGCAAGTTCAGAAACTGCTTTTGAATTTTTATTATTTTTCCAGAATCATGGCAAAATATAATGGGTTTTCTTGATTCATACCAGGGTGATATATTGGAATATATTTTTGGCCAAAGCACTTATCTGGCCCTCAATTTCCTCATTAATAGATGAGGGAGTTTTAAAATTTTATCTTTAAGGTCCCTTTCAGCACTTAAATTCTATATTTTCATCAGAAGTGAAGCATATCCCTGAACATTTTAACATCTGTTTTCATGGCCCTAACTTTGCTTTTGCTGAAACTAAAACATTCAAAATTAAAGTGCATGTTCCCCTTATTGCAAAAAGAAAGAAGCACCTTAAAAGGACACAAATTTTGAAATAGTGTTTTAAACATTTGTAAGATTTTTGTAAATGCTCTAAATATTTTATTTTTGCATTGTTTTTACCTTAAAATTGTATAAACTTTTTTACAACTGAAATACAAGCATTAGATAGCTTACTCAGGTTCCATTACGACCATAAAGATGCAGAGAGGCATTGTGGATACTCTGCTCCAGGTAACCTGTTTTAAACCTTTTAGTAATTTCTTGGTTTCACTGCCTATTCAAATCGGGAATAGATACAGAGCAATAATTGCAGAAAAGATATTTCAAACTAAGAACTGCAGAGGCACAGGTCTATCTTTTTTGTACCTTATAACCTATGCCAGTTTAGGTTGACTGAGTAGCTATGTCCTCCAACTTCATGTATAATACTCCAAGCAAAGATAGGTTTAATTGTGCAGAATTGATATATATGTATGTTCCAGTTACTAATTTAAAGTGTATAGAATATTTTAATATATAATTTTTGTAAAGAAGTGGGATTTTTATACTACAGTATTTGTAATTAATGTGTCTCACTAATTAAATTTCTCTTGAAGAAAATATGCAAATTGTTAGATGCATACTGAGTGATTTCCAAACTCTAAAGGTAAAATAAATGCACTACTATGGTGTTATTAGAATACCTTTTTTGTGGCTGTATGAATCCTTAATCTTTAAATGTGTATTTTACAAACAATGTTTACAAGGAGCTTCTCTGGTTTGTTATCCCAGGACCACCCTTGGTGAGAGCTTCATTCTGCATTTGTGTAACTCATATGCTTGGCTTTTTGGCATATGCTTGCTTTTTGCACTAGTAGAATTTTAACTTACCTCATTATTATGTTTGTAATCATTTGTATAACTTCTATAATGTGTCTGATATAGGTTAAACAAAAACGTAACCAAAGTTAAAATAAATGGTAAGCAATTTTGCACATATTAAATGCTAGGGTTTGTTGTGTATGTGTGCGCGTTTAGTTATAAAGAGTAAGGATGGAAAGTTATAGTAAGTATGTGTATCAGGCCCAATTATTTTAATGACCTTTTTGCTTTATTAGAAAAAGGTCTGGCTTTAAACCCCTTATTCTCTATATTAATTAACAGTTTGTATCTTGAAGCACTTCTCTTAATGACAAGGAATAAGCTGATTTTAAGCAAAGAATGGATTATTTGTTTGAGTATGCACATTTATACCTATTTTGTATTTGATTTAGTTTACTTTGCTTAAATGCTTCTACTGTCCTAGACCAGGAGGTAAATATGAACCTTTGGTTCTAACATCTGCCTTATTTTCTAGAGAGAAAGGCATTCTTTCTTTCTGAAAGGATTTGTTAAAATAGCAAATGTTTTTACTTTGTGAATTAGCCCAGAATTTATCATTTTTTTAGCATTTGTACATTAAATACTAGTCACATTTATCTCTCTGATAAGTGATTGGTGACTGAAAGATGCCATTGAGAAATCTCTGTGGCTTTGACATTAACAGTTAATAAGAGATCTTTGAGCTGTGTGTTCATGACTAGAATGGATTGGGGTAAATAATAAGAGAAGCACATTTAGCTTATGATTGGTACATTTCTAAGGTGAGATCCCGTTGAGTAGCAGTGGGCTATGTAATGCAGATATCATAAGAGGATTTACACTTAGTTAAATTAGTTTCTTTACTCCTCCCAGCTGGGTAAGCAATTCAGATGTACAAGTCTTTGTGCCACAGTCCTCTTCCTGGGCTCTGCAACTTTGGTTCATTTATGTAGTAAAAAGATTTTGATGTTGCATGCTCTTCGAATTATGTTTTCTAAAATATTGTATTGGTTTCATTTTAGTTTAGTAAACTGTTTTTGGCAATTTAACTAGAAATAGGGTATTATAAACTCACTTTCACCCGCATTTTTTAAAAAATGGAAATAATCTCATTGCATGTATGAGGCCCCCCTGCCCTATAACCCAATCACATAAATATAATGATCTATAAGAAGGTGAAACTGTTGATCATTATTTCAAAGACGTGTAGACTAGCAAAAGTTTGTTCTGATTAGAGATATGGTCTACTATAACTGAAGATATTTTTATTATTAAAAGTGCAGCACTTGTAGCATAAAAATCACTTGTAACATTGGATATGAAGAGATTTTTAGTATTTAAAATTATTGTAGTCATCTGGTCATAAATGAAGTAAGTTGCAAAATAGACTTGGTCTTTCATCATTTAAGGTTTAACTGACAGTTATGTTTTTCAAGATTTACTTTAGGCAGTTTTATGTATTATGTACCAATGATATGTAAAATAAAGCACCTTTTCTACTATTACCAAGTATAGGTGTTATTTATTTTGAACTATATAAAAGAAAATTAGTGATGGCAGAGTAAACTTATAGAAATGTTGATTTTATATTAGTCATGTAAAATAATATAGGCAGGTTCATAAAGAATGGATTGTGTCTAAAAAATTTGTTTTTAAGTTAGTGGATTGTGTTAGGTAGTCATTTTCTTACAGAAATGTAAAGCCTAACCCTATTATAGCTGAACTAGTCTGTTTGTAAGTAAAAAGGTAAATAGCTCCAAAAACAGTCTAAACTGGTCAGCTCTTTTTTTGTCTTCTACTTACTCTTAAAATTTTTTTTTATTAAAGCATAGTTGGCATATAGTATTATATTTGTTTCAGGTGTACAACATAGTGATTCAACATTTATATACCTTATGATGTGATCACCACGATAAGTTTAGTACCTATCTGTCACCATGCAAAGTTATGATGCTATAATTGACTATTTTCTGTGCTGTACACTATTTATCCCCATGCATTTTTAATTTATAACTGGAATTTTGCATCTCTTATTCCCGTTCATCTTTTCACCTATCTCCATACCCACCTCCCCTTTGAAGGTTTGTTTCTGTTTGTTCTGTTTATTCATTTATTTTGATTTTTTTTGGATTCCAGATATAAGTGAAATCTATTTAATCTTTTTGTCCTTATGCTTTTCACCCATTTTTAACTCTCAGCAGCCAGGCTTCTGTCCTGCTACACCATGGAAATGGATCTTGCAAAGGTCAGGGATACTTCTCATTTCCCAGATCCAGTGAATTCTTTGATTATACTTAGTCCTTTTAACCATTCTCTTGAAACTTTCACAAGTTTTTTTTAGTTTCTTTGATACAATGCTCTACCTTTCTTTATGTATTTCTGTCTCTTTTTCCATCTCTACTGATCTCCACCCATTTTTTCAAGATTCAGGTCAAATTTTGCCAACCTTATGAAATGAAGCCTTTCCTGACACTCCATTTCCAGGTAGATTCTACTCCTTCTTCTTGTACCCCCACTGCCCTTTGTTAAATCTTCTGTCACAGCCGCCTCTAGACTGTGTGCTCTATTTGTTAGAATTGTTCCTCTCCCTCTGCCAGGTGGTAGATCTCTGAGGCGGAGACTGGGTCCTTTTGTCTCTCCCATATTACCCACTTAGCTGGTACTTAAATATTTCAACAAATTATTACAGAAAATTGTCACCTTTATATCTCTTCATACTCTCACTCCCTTTTATCAAGTTGGAGTTAAAAGGGGAGGGAGGCTTTGAAAGGGAAAGAGTTTTTAGCAGATTTAATAAGGCTTTGGAGGAAATGAAGACTCCAGCTTCGTCTTCCCCTGTCCTGCTATTATTACTTAGGTTCCTGAGAGAAGTTACGGGATAAATAAGGGATATGTCCCATATTTACTAGGCTAAAAGGAGTTTAATGTAAGTGTGCATGGATCTCATGAGGAAGCCTTTGGTCTAAAAGATCTCAGCATTTAGTGTGAAACCAGTGGGCATTGCTGGAATATGATTTTAAACATTGGATGATCAGGAAAATGAGCTAAAAATATTTTCAAAGTTAATTTCCCTGTTTCCCTATAGGAAAGCCATGGGTAGTTGTCTAACATTAGAAAAAGCTACCTATTGTTAATATTTAAGCACAGGGAACTGCTGGAGGATGTGGAACACCAGCATTAGAGCCACACTGGATTCCGTTACATTTCCAGTCAGGTCACTTTGTCACCTCTGAGCTTGTGGGACCAAGGATTCTTACACTACTGGAGAACAAAATAACATTGGCACACCTTCCTTCCAAGTTTCCCAGGTGTAGTTGGGAATCCCCATACTTATATATTCTTATGATCAGGAAAAGACTTTTTTATCAGGCGTGGAAAAACATGAACTACAACATTCTGCGTAGAAACAATAATTTCTATAAACTGAATGAAGAAAGAAAGGCTATAAAATTCAAGGATATCAGCCTCGTTAAAAATAGATTATTTTATTAATATCCATTTACTTCTTTTCCAACCTCTAAAGAACTAAAATTAGGAAAATGTCCACTTGTGTGACTATTCCTCTCAGCCCAGACATCTGAAAATGAGTATGTTGAAGGTTCTTTTGTTTTGCATAGTTGGTATCTTGCATAACTTGATTTGAGCAAGAAGCTTGTACTTAAAGTTCATGAAATTCACAGTCTGACTACTGTGCAGTACTTCAAATTCAAAAGTCTTGAGAATACAGGATTATGAAGCCTTTGGCTTTGGATAGAGAGAAGGGTAGGAAGTCATAGAGTGAGGCTGTGGAGGGAACAGAAGGATTTCCTATTTCCTGATTTGATTTGCTAGTTCAGCAAAAAGTCTTTGCAGGATGCTCAGAGATGTCAGGGTGTTTACATACAACCTCTGAAGGTGCAAAAAATATGGATTGGAAGCATGTCAGATATGAAAGCTGTAGTAGAGAAGGAAATGGTCCCTCATCTACCCACTCCCCCTTCCTGGTCTCCTTACCACCCAGAGACAAGAAGCTGAAGACTTCATTCCTTACTCAGCATGAGAATTGAGAAGGTACAAAAAGAACCCTCTGTATCGGAGCATACACACGTTAAAAATAAAAGGTAGCAGCTGGTATTTGTTTCTGAACATAGAGTTAACTCTTCCCACTAGCAAATCATGGTCCAAAAGGTGTCCAGCTCTGACCAAGAGGATTATCCGTTCCTCCTCCTATCTGGGGAGATAGAATGGAAGTTCCCTAAGCACTTGAGAAAGGTTCCCTCCTACTTTCTCTGTTTCTTATAGGAGACGGAGGAAAAAGCTACAGGTGTGATAATTACCATCCAGTATAACAAAGGTGTGCGTGTGCCACTCGTGGCTGCATAGCACGTGAGAGAGTGGGCATTGTTCTGAAGGTCCAACTAACTGCTCGATCCAAAATCATTTTGCTCTCAGTTGCAGGCTAACACCCCCTGGTGGCATTGTCCATGCCAGCTTAAATATGGGTAGGATTTGGGTCTTGTAGCCACCTGAGATTTTTTAAATGGCAACAGCAATGTCTGGAACTTTCTGATGAGTTGGACCTGGGGAATCTACTTCCTACTTCCCCATTTCCTGGGAGTGGTTTGCCAGCCATTTACTGCTGGGCTTAGTCTACCTCTTGCACCAACTCCCTAACTCAAGATAATACCTTTAGCCTGCCCTGTTTGGGTATAGGGAATATATAGTTTTAAGATCTTTTTCTCAAATTTTTACATAGTATACTGAAATTGGTAGCTAATAGCCTGAATCAGGAGAAGACATTGTACCTTAACTGTATCTTGTTTGATCTGCAAAGTATCACTGCCATTGATGAACTTGACAAAGATAAGATTTCAAAATTGTTTATGACATCTGAGTGATCAGCTTGGCACCTACGACTGATCGATGTGGACAAACTGTCAATAGCTATGCACTTTCCATGTTTTTTTATTACTTAACAAATAAATGCATTATTAGAAGAATGTGCCAAAGAGAATTTGTGCTTTTGAAAGTCAACTGAATTCAGTAAAGAGACGGTGTCCTTCTCAGCTTATTTTGGAATTTGCATCATCTATCATTTCATTCTCACTTTATTCAAATAATTATACCCAGTGTACAAAATAACCAGTTAACCAGAATTATGCTAGTGACTCTGAGTCTGGCACTGCTTATAATACCTCGTAGGATCCTGATCCTATGGGAACTCAGTTAACTTCTATAAGAAATAGCCCATGCTCATTCCTTTTCTCATATTATCATGCACTTCTTCCCCACCAGTTACCATAATTGGTTAATTTGCAGTGCACAGAAGTGGCTGAAATATTGGGGAGATGTTCCCTCTCTTTGTTGATGAAATTATATATTATATAACCTTATGCCATTTTTCTTTTATATGTTTTGTGGAATAAATGATCATGCATATGGTCAACCAGCAGCTTAAGAACTAGAACATTCTCAGATGCCTAGAGTCCTCCGTTTGTCCTCTCTTCACACACACCACGTGAGGCAAACATTATTCTGGATTTTTTTGTTAATAATTCCATGTTTTTATTTATGGTTCTACCATCTATGTCTGTATCCCTAATATGTTGTTTAGATTTACCTGTTTCTGAACTGTTATGTAAGTGGCATTATGCAGTATGTATTCTTCTGTGACTTTTTTTGACAATTGTTTTTGAGATTCCATCCATGTTTATACATGTAACTGTATTTCATTTGTTTTCACTGCTGTATAGTATTCCATTACCTGCCTATACCATAATTTATCTGTTCTGTTCATGGAGATTTGGGTTTCCAGTTTTTAGTTGTTATGAATAACGCTGCTATGAACATTCTGCCAATTATAATGTAAACTCTGTGCGGGCAGGGGTTTGTCTGTTTTGCCCATTTAGACATTCACAACGTCTAGAACAATGCCTGGCACATGGTAGATGCTCCACATCTATTTGAGGAATGAATGAATTTTTGAACATGTATCCTGGTGGCACATGCTCAAGAGTTGCTCTTAGCAGTTGTTTTCAAAGTGTCGTCCAGGGACCTCTAAGGGTCCCTGAGCCCCTTTCAGGGGGTCTCTGAGGACAAAACTATTTTCATAAAATCCTAAGACATTATTTGTCCTTTTCACTCTCATTCTTCATGAGTTTAAATGTTTTCCAGAGTTATGATGACATCATCACACCGATAGCTAATCAAGTATGTACCTGTGTATTTTTGTGTTTTGAAAATGTCTCTTAATTTCTAATACGGCAAATATTTATAAATATAACCCACACGAACAACAGCAATTTGAGATCATCAGTAATTGTTAAGGATGTAAAGAGGCCCTAAGACCAAAAATTTGAGAACCGCTGCTCTAAGAAGCAGGTTTTACTTGGCCATGCGGAACTGTCTGGTAAAGCATTTGTACCCGTTTACACTCCCACTGGCAGTGGTTGAGTGGCATTGCTCCACGTCTTAGCAAACTCGTGGTCTTGACTGTCTTTTATACTCGTCAATTGGATAGCTATTATATTGTGTCTTACTGTGGGTTTCATTCAAATTTCCCTGGTTATTAATGAAATTTAGTTTTTTCCCCCCGTATGTAAACATGTTTCCTTTTCTGTGAAATTAGTTTTTTCCCATATATAAAAATGTTTTCATGTCTTTTGCCCATTTTTCTGTCTGGTGTGTGTCTTTTTTCATTGATTCATATTTCTTTATATATTCTGGATACCAATCCTTTGTCATTTAAACATGTTGCATATATCTTCTCCCAGTTTGTGTAATATCTTTTGTAATTGTATTGAATCTGTTGATCCATTTGGAGAAAATTGATTTTCAATAATGAGTCTTCCTAGCCAAAAACATTGTATGTCTTTCCATTTATTTGGTCTTTTAATATCTCTCAATAAACTTTAATAATTTTTCTCCATAAAGGCCTTCATGTCTTAGATTTCTTCCTAGGAGTTTTGTATTTTCTAATGCTGTGGTAAGTTTTTTTTTTTAATTACACTTTTTATTCTAACTGGTTGTTGCTGATTATACATATACTAGGGGCCTAGTGCACGAATTCGTGCACCTTGAAAGGAACTGAGGGCCGCGAGGCTGCGGTGGGCACAGGGGCAGGTCTAGGCCCATTCTTCACACCCCCTCCCGGCCCCTCCCACCACAGCCCCCGGTCCCCTGTCTGCCTGCAGCCCTACTCCTGCTGCTGCCGCTAGCTATGTGCTTATGGCGCCGGCCCCGCTCGCACCCACTGACAGTGTGGAGCGATTAGAGCTGGCGCCAGCAGCGGGTGCAAGCAGTCAGGACCTGCTCCAGGTGCTGGCAGCGGATGCGAGTGGCGGTTCCAGCGCAAGCTACAGGTGCAAGCCAGACTGGCGCCAGCAGTGGGTGTGAGTGGCAGCTCCAGCCCTGATTGCCCCTCAGGAGCAGGGGGAGGTGGAGAAGCCCTGAGGGGCAATTGGGGCCAGCAGCCACCACTTGCACCCGCTGACAGTGCCGAGCGATCAGGGCCAGTGCCAGGTGTCGGCAGCGGGTGCGAGCAGGGCCAGTGCCAGCAGCAGGTGCGAGTGCTGGGCGGGACCATGGCGTGCAGGAGCAAAGAATTTTCAGTAACCACCAGAGGCTCACCCCAATGACAGTAACTGGCACCCCGCCTTGGTCTGGCGCCCCCGCTCACCTCCACCATCCCGCCGTGGCCGATGCCCACCATGTTCCATGCTCTGCTGCCTGTTGCCAACGCCCGCCATGTTCCGCGCTCGCCCCCTGGTGGTCAGCGCACATCATAGCGACCGGTTGTTCGGTTGTTCTGCCATTCGGTCTATTTGTATATTAGCCTTTTATTATATAGGATTGTTACTATGTGTTGATTTTTGTATCCAGCAACCATGCTAAACTTTTATTAGTTCTAATAATGTATCTAGATGTCCTTTTGAATTTTTATATAATTATATCATCTGCAAATAGTGAAGTGTTCTCCCTTTCTGACCCTTTTACCTTTAAAAACATTTCTTGTTACATTTCTGCAGTGGCAAGGACCTGTAGTATAGTAGAAAAGAACTGATAATGAACATCCTTGTCTTAGCCCCGATTTAAAGGGAATGCTTTCAACATTTCAGTTCAGTATTTTTCCCCCACAAAAGTCCTTTATTGGGTTAAGGAGGGATTCCCTTCTAGTTCTAGTTGGTTAATAGTTTTATTATGAATGGATGTTGAATTTTATTACTTTTTATCTATTTAAATGGTAGAATTGTTCTTCTTAATGTTAATGTATAAAATTATGGTAGTTGACTTTTTAATATTCAACCAATCTTTAATTCCTAGGACAAACCCAACTTTGTCATGGGTGTGTGTGCATGCACTCATGCATTTTAATACATTGCTGGACTCAGTTTGCCAGTGTTCTGTTTAGGATATTTACGCCTATATTGGTGAGTGAAATCGGCCTATAATACTCCTTTCATGTCTAGTCGTAGTATCAACGTTAGACTAGCCTCATGAAATGAGTTTTTCAATTGTCTGGAAGAGTTTCAGATTGGACCTTGTCTTTTATTTTTTTAACATTCTTGACTTCACAGAGGAAGGGAAAGGTGAAGAGAGAGATAGGAACATCAATGATATGAGAGAATCATTGATTGGCTGCCTCCTGCACACCCCACACTGGGGATCGAGCCTGCAACCCAGGTATGTGCCCTTGATGGGAATCAAACCTAAGACCCTTCAGTCCATAGGCCCACGCTCTATCCACTGAGCTACACCGGCCAGGGCTGGACCTTGTCTTTAAGGCCATTTGTCATTAAGAGAAGAATTTTAACTATTGCTTCCATTTCTTTAGGGGTTGTAGGATCATAAAGATTTTATGTTGTGTTAGTTTTGTATATGTGCTGCCAAAGCAAGCACACAGTTTTGATTAATATTTTTTTTCTAGTGATTTCTCCATTTCATCTTAGTTTAAAATTTTTTTTATATGAAGCCATGTTATCTTTACATTTTTAGTTTCCATAGCATCTGTAGTTATGAGCCTTTCTCATTCCTATTAGTTTATTTGTGCCTTTTTAAAAATTAAAATATTAAATATTCCAGAGCTTTGAATATTAGCCCAATTGTTATTTTTAAAGTTATTACCACATGCCAGGGTGTGTTATATATTTGTTTTTTAGTGGAGATGCTGGGGACTGAAGTGTTATAGTTTATTAGCATTTTGTAGAGAATATGAGCTATAAGGTTTCAGTTTTCTGAAATGAAAATAGCTTTATGATTTATCAAGTGATCAATTTTCATGCATGTTCCACATATACTTGAAAAGAATGTGTGGTCTAAGGCCATACCACCTGAACGCGCCCGATCTCGTCTGATCTCGGAAAAGAATGTGTGTTCCCCAATAGTGGAGTATCATGTCATTAAATCAAACTTGTTAGTTGTTCTGTGTAAATCTCTGTACTAATTCACCTTTTACTTGATTTCTTATTTCCTGAAGTCTCATGATCTGATTATGATAGATTTTTCAATGTCTCTTGAAGTTATCATTATTTTCTTTCTTTCTTTTTTGGCTTTATTATTAGATACATACTAATTTAGAATTCTGTCTTCCCTGGTGAATTTTGGACCCTTTATAACCATGCAGGGACTCTATCTCTATGAATGTTGTTTGCTGCCTTAGTTTTATTATTTTGTTACTATAGCAAGATTTTGGTTAGTCTTTATCTGAATATCTTAAATCTGTTTTTGGTCTTATATTTTGAATTTGCAGGAGACACACTCAAAAGACCAAAGGGAAACTATCTTTTTAATTGCATAGTTTTGTACATTTATATTTATTGTGATTACAAATATAAGTTGGATTTATTTCTAGGTCCTTGTCATAAATTATGTCTTGGGGTTTTTTTGGGGGGAGGTGTTTATTTTTCCCCCCTCTATTTGTTGGGTTTTTCTTTTTTTAGATCTTCACCAGAAGATGTTTTTATTGATTCTCAGAGAAACATGGATGTGAGATAGAAACATCCAGTGGTTGCCTCTTGTACATACCCTGACAGGGATCGAACCTGCAACCTAAATATGTGCCCTGACTGGGAATAATCAAACTGCAGCCTTCTGGTGTATGAGATGACGCTGCACCAACTGAGCCACTTGGCCAGGTCTTTATTTCAATGAGTTTTATTTGGTTTACAAATCTTGTTTGTTCTCTGTGTAATCTTTTGCTCATTCTTCGTATTTTCCATGCTTCTATTCCTTTACAAATTACTTTTTCCTTTAGAGTCCTTGTGTGTGATTCCACTGTTGTATACACTGTGTTGTTTTTCCCTCATGGTGCCATTTTCCCTCGAGTTTAAACTTATTTTCCTTGGGAAATAGGAATTATTTGAAGCATGGATTGAAATTGAGGTCCTGAGGAGAGTTTGCTCTGCCAGACACTGCAGGAGGAGCTACCAACTGAAACCACTTGACCAGCTTGAAGGTTCTGTGATTTCAGATCACAAACGTGGAGGGCTGGCCTGTCTGAATTTGAGGGAGCTGGTGACTTATCTCCCGCCACCCAGCACCACAGTGGAGGCAGGCAAATTTCCTAGCTGCTCACTTTTCTGTGGTGGCCCTTCTGGACTCCAGTGAGCCTCAGGCTTTAGGTCCAGTCGCCCCGCTGCTGCTGTTTCATGGTCTCCAGCTCAACACAAGTCTCAGGGCAAAGTGGGATTTGGTACTGTCTTACCTCATAGGTTTCCTATTTTCACCTCATTTTGGGAGTTTTGCGATGACTTACTTTCATGTCAATTCAGTGGTATATTTTAAGATATTGTGTATTATTTAATATTAATTTACAATGTTGCTTGTATTTTATCCAGCATTTGGTTTTATAAGCTGGGGGTTATCAAGGGTATCTAGACTGCCTTCAATTGGAAATGACGTCCAAATTAAAATTTGCTTTATTGTGCCCTTGATGTAAGTAGGAAACATGGTAGTGTATAGTCTATACAGAATTCCAGGGTGCCAAGCTCTCTGCTTTGCACTGTTCTATAAGATAGCACTTTTATGAGACTGCTACTTGCAAGGTTAGAAATGTACAAAAACCATTCTTTAGTTATACTCTTTCTCTAAAAGAATGGCTCTGCCATTTCCTTTAATGGCTGTCAGCCCAAATTACTCCTTTGTGTTCTTTGATTAGTCATTGCTTTGGTCTGAAAAACGGATTTGGATCTGATTTCTTGTAAACATAGGATTGGGGATTATCTATGCATGAATAGGCCTCTTGGCATACCTGTCCTGGCTGGAGGCACTGTCTGTTATGACTTATCTTTTGCCCAGCAACTTGTTTTACATCAATTACCCGGTGTTTAAGGTTTGAAAATATCTTTCATTCACATGTACTCTGAAATTGAACTTTGGAAAACAGGTGCAAAAGACACAAAATTGTTACTGTTTGTTTTAGAGGATGAAGACGACCTAAATTATACCTTAGAGCAGTGGTTCTCAACCTGTGGGTCGCAACCCCTTTGGCGGTCGAACGGCCCTTTCACAGGGGTTGCCTAAGACCATCCTGCATATCAGATATTTACATTATGATTTATAACTAGCAACATTACACTTATGAAGTAGCAACGAAAATAACTTTATGGTTGGGTCACAACATGAGGAACTGCATTTAAAGGGCCAGAGGTTGAGAACCACAGCCTTAGAGGCA